TTCGCGACGTCAATTTGCCGCAGCTTCTTCTTCTTCATGGCGGCGATTGCGAGGAGAATGCGTAGTGAGGTGTGACGGCTGACCGGAGCGTCCGTGCTCTTGGTCGAAACCGCGTACGACCCAGCGCGCCTTAAATTTGTCGATGGTGCCGTCGGCTTTTGTCTTCACACGGAAGACCCACTTTTCGGTGAGCACAGTCTTGTTTCGTGCTACGCCGATAGGGACGACCTTCCAGGTGTTGCGTTCCTCTAATGCCTTCAGTTCCTTGTCCATGGCTTCGCGCCATTTTTCTTTATGCTCCCCCCCCAGAGCCTGCTGAACCGTCGCAGGCTCCTTAGGAATGGCGGCGCCGTGGACTGCGGTGACGAGTCCAAGTATCTGAAGTCCACTCTGTGTGTAGCGGGGGAGAGTGGTGTCCTCGGGATAAACTGCTTCGTCTCCCGCTTCTGGATCAGGTACGAAATTCGGTCCTATGCGTTCTGCTTCGTCGGTGTTGACTTGTGCAGGTGTAACATAACCGTTGTCAGCGAAGTGGTAGTAAGTTTCGGCGTTGATGCTTTCGCGTGGATTTTCGTCATCCATTGGGACATCGACGGAGCAGTATGGGAGGGGTCCGGCTTCTTCCGAGGCTCCTTCCACGTTCTGCTCGTCCCAGTCAGCTTCGTCTTCTGCCGAAGCGAAGGCACGGGTCCCATTGAATCCGCCCGAGGGATCAGGTCGGTTTGCTGCCACGTACGCAAGGTGAACGTCGAGGGTGAGGTTCTCGTAGAAGAGGACATCACGTGCTGCGACTGTTTCCTTGCTGTTGATGTCGAAGATTGTCCATGCATTGTAGTGTTTTTCGATGCCCAGGTGTAGTCCCCACTGTGCTCGCTGGGAGAATCGACCGGCGCGTGCAGATGGGGGTCGGTACTGTACCATGCAGCCGAAAACTCTCAACATTTTTGTGTTGCCCAATTTTCCTGTCCACAGCAGGTGCGGTGATGCGTTGTTCGGGAGCGATGATGACGAAAGCAAGTTGTGCAGCATGACGGCGTGGTCCATTGCTTCGGGCCATTGGTGGTTGGGCAGGTGCATGCCACGTAGCAGCTTGCGCATGGTGGCTTGGAGTGTCCTGTTCATCCTTTCTGCTACGCCTTGTTGTTGATGAGCGTAGGGAAGGGAAATGAGCCGCTTGATCCCCCTTTCTGCCAAGTAGTCCTTGAACCTCTGTGAGGTGTATTCTCCTCCCCCGTCTGACTGGAAACTCTTTAGTTTTACGCCCGATTCTCTTTCTGCTGCAGGAAGCCACGCGACGAACGCCTCGAACGCCATGTCTTTGCTTGGAAGATTCAGGTGCCAAACGTAACGTGTCGCGGCGTCGATGAACGTGATGGTGTAGTTGTACGCGTTCTGCCCCAGCTCGCGATTGTACAGGATGTCACTGTACACCTTCTCGAGTGGTGCGTAGGCTGGTGCGCTTGGATTATGGTGAGACACAAACGGTTGATGTGATAAATCTGCTTCGGGACAGGTGAAGCATGTTCCTCGAGCTCGCTGAAGTTCTCTGCCGTCGATCAGTAGAAGTGAGTCTTTGTCGAGCACTCCTACTCTTATTGTGTTGTTTAACACCGTGTGGCTTGGATGTCCCATCCTTGCGTGCCAGGTTCCTTCGGTGGCGCGGTGTCCGGGCGAGCGTCGGTACATGTCGGAGTTGGAGTAGAAGCCGGCGGTGACGTTCGCGCTTCGGTGGACTTCTCGTCGTGTCGGGTTGAGCTGTTGCGCGGGTGTCGGTGGTGTGTCGTCGAGGAGTTGTGCCGTTGAAGGACCAGCGACTGGTGTTGAAGTTCCTGCTGTTGCCGTTGATGTTCCTGCTGCTGCCGTTGTTGTCTCTGCTGCTGCCGACGTTGTCTCTGCTGCTGCCGACGTTGTCTCTGCTACTGCCGATGTTGTCCCTGCTGCTGCTGATGTTGTCTCTGCTGCATGTTGAATTGTCGCTAACGCTCTTGTCCTTTCTGTCTCAGGGATGGTGTGTGAGTACCAGAAACCGCCAGGACTGAAGTCTGGATCAAGATCTGGAGGGTGTGTCCAGTTGGTGAAGTTAACGATGGCGTCGCTGTCGGCGGTGCCGAGATCAGGAACGAAGTCAAGAACGAAGACGTTGTTCTTGAGGACCGCTTTGCCGATGTAAAGGCCTCCTCTCCCGTGGTACAACTTTGAATTCTTGGGTGGTACTGTCTGCTTCAAGATGGATCCCCTTCGCCATCAACTGACTGACGCTCAGTAGGTTGTAGCCGAGCCCTTCTGCGATTAGGACTTTGGACATCTGTAGAATGACGTTTGTTTCTCGTGACTGAAGTTGAACGACTTCTTGTCGTCGTGTGCGCAGGTTCTGATTGTTGGCGACAGTGATGACGGCTTCTCGTTGGAGTTGGTACTCTCGCTGCACGAAGCGTCCTGAAGAACACATGTGCTGTCCGCAGCAACTGTCCAAGAACCACGTGTCCTTCCCGGATGGTTCGCTCTGGGCGATAGCTGCGTATGTCGGATTCGGGTTGTTCTTCTGGTGAGTAGTATGGTGGTGATCCCGTGATGCAAGAGTCGCTCAGCCTTGCCATGCAGCTGACGATGTTTCTTGCTCCTTGTGCAGGTTGTCCCGTTGAAGTCGTTGAGGCTTGAATCTGGGTCGAAGGATTTGCTTGTGTCGAAGCGACTTGATTGCTTGAAGGTCGAAGCTGTCGCTGTGGCGTTGTTGATTGTTGTCGATACGGGCAGTGTGTGCGCGGATGTCCTGAAGTTTTGCAGATGTGGCAGAACGGAGGTACGGGCTTCGGCTGTTGCTGCCGATTGTTGTTGTTGCTGTAGCGTCGTTGAGTGTGGAACGCGAATTCCGGTGCTGATGTCTTCTTTTTATGTCGTTCTTCTTGCAGGTCCATGTCTTGCTGTTCGGCGTGGATTTCAGCGCAGAGCGCTGCTTCGGAGATTCTTCCGTGGGCTCGGAGTATGGCCTTTGTGGCGCGCCATTGAGGACCGAGGCCGCCGATGATAACTGTCACGAAGGCGTCTTCAGAAATCGATCCTCCGCATCGAAGAAGCTTGTCGCGCAACTCGCGACATCAGCTGATATACGCCAATCCTTTCTCGCCTGGTTTCATTTCGACCGTTGTCAGTTGCGCCATTAACCGACTTTGGTTTACGCTGTCTGTTGCTTGATACAGGCTCTTCAAGTGGTTATATGCGAGCTCCGCGGAGTTGCCGTAACCCCGGTAAGATCGTATGTTCTGCTGTTGAGTCGGGGTGATGTTTCTCAGTAGAATCGTGTACGCCATCATTGACTGATAGGTGTACTGCTGCTTCTCGTACTGTGTGCCGTTTGTTGGGTATGGCAGGGAACCGTCGAAGAAGCCAAGTATCTGCGCGCCTTCCATCATCAGCTCGAATTCAAATGACCAGGTAAAAAAGTCATTTCCATCGAAGGGTCTTGACGTCTGCATCTTCAGAACGTGTGCGAACTGCGACTGAACTTGTAATGCGTCCAGTGATTTTTCTTGTCCAGGTGAGGGCTGCGGGTGAGGCATGAAGCTGACGGACCCGCGCTCGTACGGAGCAAAGGTAGGCTGCTGCTGTTGATTTCCTCGTGCATATGATGAGCCGTCTAGACTCATGGGTGTTGCTCCGTTGTTGTTGCTGTTGTGTGACTGCGCAGGTGCCGATTGCTGGTGTTGTTCGTAGAAGGACATGAAGGAGAAGAACTTCTCCATCATGCTCTGGTCGAAGTCTGCGGGCTGATTCGCGGGAGTCTCGGTAGATGTTGCTCTGGGTCTTGTTGCCGTGCCCTCCTCTGTCTGTAGGCCAGAGGCAGGAGGTGGAGTAGGAGTAGTGCCCTGGGAGCTATTGGAGTTGCTCCTTTCCTTTTGTGTAGCCATGCTTGTTGATGTTGTCGGTTTAGAAGTTGAATTCCCCCTGATAGCTCTGATACCATGTTGGGCTGAAAAAAAGCCCTTAGGATCTTTGCAGGGGTGAAATCTGAGTAGGGTTGATGTAATAGCGGAAGCGTTAATTAAAGAGTAGTGAACCACCTTGCGCTAGTATGTGAGGGCAAAGTAAGTTGATTAAAACAAGGAGATACATGATTATATATGAGTACAAGGAATACGAAGAGATGCAGTTATAACTACTTTACTGTTGCTGTTGCGGTTCGATACAGTGACGACTCGGGCAACTGCTCTGTAGCGAGTCAGTTGTGTGTCCTTGCTGTCGCGCTGTACTTGTCAGGTCAAAGGTCGCTGACCTTTGACTTTCGCGTAACCTCCAGCAGTTACTTCAACCTCCGAGGGTTGACTCGCCGGTGCTTCGATATGTTTCGCTTCGATTGTGCCTTGGTGTTTTGACACGACAGAGGCGCTTAAGATTGATTGTTTCCAACAGATATATCATGTACAAGTAGTGCACTACAATATATACTAACCAAGGAAGGACAAACAAGTAGTTTATTGCATGAAATGCATCACATGGCGACCTTATTCCTTTGTTGCAACTGCACTAGAGTGGCATAAGCACCATTAGGTACACCTATGAGGTCCATATGAGTGCCTTGCTCCACCAGCCTCCCACCCTGCAACACAGTAAGCACATAGTAAAGAGACATGATACAATGCAAATACAGTATGCCAGCATGAACCACGTGGGTGGGAAATGAGAGCCATGGTGTCATCGCAGCAAGCCCTTCCCAGCTCCCACACCTTCCCCCCACCACACAGTCACTCAACCCACCACACACCCCATAACTCAGTTACCCAATCCAACACACGCACTTCCAACCCTCCCCTCACCTGCAGCACAGCAATGCAGTCCGCGTGGCAGATGGCGGAGAGGCAGTGCGCGACGACACTCAACCCACCAGATACCCTGTTACTCTGTTACCTAACCCATGTACACACTCCTCCCCCCCCCCACCCTCACCTGCAGCCCGGCAATGCAGTCCGCGTGGCAGATGGTGGAGAGGAGAGGAGGCGCAATGATCACCCCGCTACTCTGCTACTCAGCCCAGCACAACCATGCCACCCGCCCCCCATCCCCAACCCCAGCATTTCCCTTCCCTCACCTGCAGCACAGCAATGCAGTCCGCATGGCATATGGTGGAGTGGTAAGACTCTCAATCGACACACCCCATCGCTATGTTACTCAACCCACAACACACACCCCCCTCCACCCTCCACTCCTCTCACCTGCAGCACTGCAATGCAGTTGGCGTGGCAGATGGTGGAGAGGCGGTGGGCCACGACAATCGTGGTGCGGCCAATCATGATGCGGTTCAGCGCTGACTGGACCGCCACCTCAGACTCTGCATCCAGCGCTGACGTGGCCTGCAGGGAAGGGAGAGCCATGCGGGATGGAGAAGCTTGAAACAACCAAAATGCGTGCGCGAATGTGTGAGGGAGGAAGTGATATGGGGTGGAGTGCGCGATTGAACGAGCAAGTGAGTGAGCGAGGAGTGAGCGAGTGAGTGACGAAGTGAGTGAGGGCCTGAGTGAGTGACTTTTGAGGCGCCTCAAAAGATTGAGTGAGTGAGGTATTGAGGAGTACGCGGGTGACCGAGTCACCGAGGGGACACATCTGAAATTAGACAGCACACCTCATCCAACAGCAGCACACCTCATCCAACAGCAGCACCGCCGGGTCGTTGAGGATGGCCCTGGCGATGACTTTTGAGGCACCAACCACCACCACCCAGCACCACCCAGCACCACCCACCACCACCCAGCACCACCCAGCACCGCCCAGCACCACCCATCACCACACCATCAGCACACCTCATCCAGCACCAGCACCGCAGGGTCGTTAAGCATAAGCATAAGCATAAGCATAAGCATCAGCTTCAGCATCAGCATAAGCATAAGCATAAGCATAAGCATCAGCATCAGCATCAGCATCAGCATCAGCATAAGCATAAGCATAAGCATCAGCATCAGCATCAGCATCAGCATCAGCATCAGCATAAGCATAAGCATCAGCATCAGCATCAGCATCAGCATCAGCATCAGCATCAGCAAATGCATCAGCATCAGCATCAGCATCAGCATCAGCACCAGCATCAGCATCAGCATCAGCATAAGCATCAGCATCAGCATCAGCATCAGCATCAGCATCAGCATCAGCATCAGCATAAGCATCAGCATCAGCATCAGCATCAGCATAAGCATAAGCATAAGCATCAGCATCAGCATCAGCATCAGCATCAGCATCAGAAACAGCATCAGAATCAGCATAAGCATAAGCATGAGCATGAGCATGAGCATGAGCATGAGCATGAGCATGAGTATGAGCATCAGCATCAGCATCAGCATAAGCATCAGCATCAGCATCAGCATCAGCATCAGCATAAGCATCAGCATAAGCATCAGCATCAGCATCAGCATCAGCATCAGCATCAGAATCAGCATAAGCATAAGCATGAGCATGAGCATCAGCATCAGCATAAGCATCAGCATGAGCATGAGCATGAGCATGAGCATGAGCATCAGCATAAGCATCAGCATAAGCATCAGCATCAGCATCAGCATCAGCATAAGCATCAGCATCAGCATCAGCATCAGCATCAGCATCAGCATAAGCATAAGAATCAGCATCAGCATCAGCATCAGCATCAGCATCAGCATTAGCATCAGCATCAGCATCAGCATCAGCAGTACACCTCATCCAACAGCAGCACCGCCGGGCCCTGAGGATGGCCTTGCCGATGACTTTTGAGGCACCACCCATCACCACCCAGCACCACCCAGCACCACCCATCACCACTCAGCACCACCCAGCACAACCCATCACCGCCCAGCACCACCCATCACCACCCATCACAACCACCCATCACCACCCATCACTGTCACCATACGTCATCCAGCAGCAGCACCGCCGGGTCTTTCAGGATGGCTCTGGCGATGGCGATGCGCTGCTTCTGCCCTCCTGACAGCTGCACGCCTCTCTCTCCCACCTGTGTGCATTGTTGCATGGGGAAAACGGAAAAGTTTAGCACGTTTGCTGCAATGGCAATGCGCTGCTTCTGCCGTCCTACCAGCTGCACGCCCCTCTCTCCCACCTCCTACCAGCTGCACGCCCCTCTCTCCCACCTCCTACCAGCTGCACGCCCCTCTCTCCCACCTCCTACCAGCTGCACGCCCCTCTCTCCCACCTCCTACCAGCTGCACGCCCCTCTCTCCCACCTCCTACCAGCTGCACGCCCCTCTCTCCCACCTCCTACCAGCTGCACGCCCCTCTCTCCCACCTCCTACCTGTGTGTCGTATCCCTCGGGCAGGCCACTGATAAACCCATGCACGTTGGCTGCCCGCGCTGCTTCCACCACCTCGGCCTCGCTTGCGCCTGGCTGGCCATACAGGATGTTACTGCGGATGCTGGGGGAACACGGAGAGGAAGGTGGGGGCAGATGGGGACATGGGACAGGGGGGCATAGGGCATGTTTCCACCACCTCTGCCTCGCTTGCGCCTGGCTGGCCATACAAAATGTTGGCGCGGATACTGGGAGGAGCAGATGGTGAGGTAGGGGCATGGGGGCACACAATGTTTCTGCGGTGAGAGCGTGGGAGCATGGGGAATGGGAGGGAATAATGAAAATGCTGCAGAAAGTATGGGAGGGTGGAAAATGAAGAGAAGGAGACGAAGAAGAAGGAAACGTGCCTTACACTCCCGTCCCGCATACGCACCACATTGCTTTTATTGACGCACCTCAGAAGCAATCGTGCCTCACAATCCGCATCCACATTGCTTACTTGGTGGCAAAGAGGGCAGGTTCCTGGCTGACAAGGCCGATGAATGCAGGCAGGCTACATTCACAGCAGGCACTTACATTGCCTACATAACAGGCACCAGACAACAAACACCACATTGCTTACGTGGTGGCAAAGAGGGCGGGTTCCTGGCTGACTAGCCCGATGAACGATCGCAGAGCCTTCAGATGAACGGACCGGATGTCCTCCCCATCCACCCGCACACTCCCAGCCGTCGGATCGTAGAACCGCTCCACCAGGGCCACCACGGAACTTTTTCCGCTGCCCGACGGGCCCACCAGCGCCAGCATCTTCCCCGGTGCTGCCCGGAGAGAAAAGTCTTGCAGCACGGGCGTTTCCGGGCGGGTTGGGTAAGCGAACGAAACCGACCGGAATTCAATCTCCCCGCGAACAGTCGAAACCACCTCAGCCGTCGGATCGTCTGAAAGAATCTTGGGCGTCCGATCGGTGGTCTTGAACACCGATCGAACGGCCACGCTCCCCTTGGCAATATCCGGAGCGAAAGTAATGCTTTCCGCTATAGCCATCGAAGTCATTATCAGCACCATAAATGACTTAAGCACATCGCCATATGATGCGGTATCAGGAATCAGGGTTGACCCATACCATAGTGCTAACGCATACGACCCATACATGAAAAATTGGCTCAGGCCGAAACCTGCCCCGCCAATCTGCCCACGAAGGAATGAGCGCCTGAGCGGGCCTGCCAGCCTGGCGGTGAACAGTGCGAGGATTTTGTCCTGTGCGTTGAATGCTGCTACAGTGCGGATGTTGGCGACTGCCTCAGCTGCTATGGTGGTGGCGCCGGCGTGTGATGCGCTCTGGTTGCCTGCGAACCCTGCCAGGAATTGTTGCTGCGAGGGGGTGAGAGGGAGGAGGGGAGGGGAGAGGAGGGTATGAGGATCAAAGAGGTGGGGGAGAGCAGAGGGAACGTGGTAATGACCACAAATCCGATCCAAATCGCGATCACAATCACCGGCAGGTAAGAAGTGGTGGTGCTATGGTTGCTGCTGCTATGGTTGTTGCTGACAAACGCGATTATGATCAGCACTACCATCACCAAGACTGCCAGTGACTGCAGAGCAGGGCTATCCCCTTCCCCCTCACCTCCATGAGTGCAGCGAAGATGAGGAGGGGGAACGTCGCAATCACCACGAGAGCGACCCGCCACTCCACGACGAACCCGATCACAAACGCGATCACAAACGCGATCACAATCACCGACAGGTTCTGCGTGGCGAGAGGAGGGCTATTCCCTAACCTCTAAGAGCGCAGCAAAGTAGAGCCACCTTCCCAGCGAGTGCCATTCCCGCTCCCCCCTCACCTCCATAAGTGCTGCAAAAATCAGCAGAGGGAACGTTGCAATCACCACGAGAGCCACCCGCCACTCCACCACGAACCCGATCACAAACGCGATGACGATCACCGAGAGGTTCTGCGTGGCGAGAGCTATGCGGTCCGCCACGGCAGCCTTGACGAGCGTGGCGTCTGTGGCGAGGCGAGCGGCGATGGCTCCACTGGTGTTGGCATCGCGATCGAACCACGCGACCTCGTTGCCCAGGATAGCTGTGTGGGCGTTGTGGGAGGAGAGAAAGGCGGGCCGGAGGGAGGGAGGGGAGGTGGATGGGAGGGAGGAGGAAGAGAGTGCAGAGAGACGGCTGCTTTGACGAGAGTGCAGTCAGTGGCGAGGCGAGAGGCGATGGCGCCGCTGGTGTTGGCGTCCCTATCAAACCACGCCACCTCGTTGCCTAGGATGGCTGTGGGGGTTGTGGGAGGAGAGAAAGGCGGGCCGGAGGGAGGGAGGGGAGGTGGATGGGAGGGAGGGGAAGAGAGTGCAGAGAGACGGCTGCTTTGACGAGAGTGCAGTCAGTGGCGAGGCGAGAGGCGATGGCGCCGCTGGTGTTGGCGTCCCTATCAAACCACGCCACCTCGTTGCCTAGGATGGCTGTGAGGTGGGGTGGAGAGGGGGGAGGTGGCGGGTGGGAGGGAAAGAGGGAGGGAGGGAGGGAGGGAGGAAGGGAGGGAGGGAGGGAGGGAGGGAGGGAGGGAGGGAGGGAGGGAGGGAGGGAGGGAGGGAGGGAGGGAGGGAGGGAGGGAGGGAGGGTGGGAGGGGACGTGGATGGTGGGAAGAGGAGGCGCTTCTGTCTGGCGCGTTTCACCATCGCTTTCCCTGACACCCCGAAGCCAAAGCTCTGCACGGAATGCACTAATAGGGCCAGCAGGCCCAAAAAGAACCCTGCTACCTTCCAACATCCGCACGCACCTGCCAGAATCTCTCTGACGCACCTCTCAGCATCTTCCCTCTAACGCACCTGCCAGCATCTTCTCTCTGACGCGCTTCACCAGCGCTTCGCCCGACACACCAAAGCCATAGCTCTGCACAGCACAGAGTGCACCGGCAGGGCCAGCACACCCAGAGCCGTTTCCCCTCCCCCTTTGGCTATGTTCCCATGTTACGCACCTGTCAGCATCTTCTCTCTGACGCGCTTCACCAGCGCTTCGCCCGACACACCAAAGCCATAGCTCTGCACAGAGTGCACCGGCAGGGCCAGCACACCCAGAGCCGTTTCCCCTCCCCCTTTGGCTATGTTCCCATGTTACGCACCTGTCAGCATCTTCTCTCTGACTCGCTTCACCAGCACCTCCCCTGACACCCCGAAGCCATAATTCTGAACTGAGTGCACCGGCAGCGCCAGCACGCCGAGAGCCGTGAAGACTATGGCCCACTTGTTGACCTGCCTCCTCATCTCTTCAGTATCAGGGTTGTAAAGAGCTGATATGACCTGAAAAGAAGCAGAAGGGGAGGGAACGGAAGGGAGGGGCTGAGCACCGAGTGCACCGGCAGGGCCAGCACGCCCAGAGCCATGAAGACTATGGCCCACTTGTTGACCTGCCTCCTCATCTCGCCCGTGTCAGGGTTGTACAGAGCTGCTATCACCTGTAGAGAGCAGCGACTCACGTTACAGCAGTGACACACTCACGTTACAGTCACACCCACACTAGAGCCCCACTCACATCAATGAGCAGCAGTGCATACACGGGGTTGAACGCCCCTGCCATCACAGCACCAGCAGCACCCAGAGCAGTGAACGGCCATTCGGGAGCACTCATGCGCGCTTTACGCCACCACGACACCTTCTGAGGCGACTGTTGAGTCGATTCTAAAGGGACTCACATCAATGAGTAGCAAGGCATACACGGGGTTGAAAGCCCCGGCCATGACAGCACCAGTGGCGCCAAGAGCTGTAAACGGCCACTCGGGAGCACTCATACGCGCCAGACGCCACCACGACGCCTTCTTTCCTTTGCCCTCTCCTTCTCCTTCCCCTTCCCCGTTCCCGCCCTCCTTCTCCTCCCCGCTCTCCTTGTCCTCCTGACCGTTCTCCCCCTTGCCCTCTCCTCTCTTCTTGCCGCCTGGGAGTAACGCCCTGAGGGGCGCAGGTAGGACCTTCCTCAGTTCTCCCCACACTTGCTTCCCTCCCCCCCCTTCCCCTCCCTCCTCTTCCTCCTCCTCGTCTATCTCCCCTGGGTCCACGTCAGCAGGGTCCACGTCAGCGCCAATCCCACTGTGGCCACGTGGCAGGGAGGATTCTGAGAGGGAGCTGAGCGCCTTCAAGATCTTCCTTCCCACGTCAGCCTCTGCTCCTGATTGGTCCACGTCAGCTGCAAGACGTCCGGCTACTTGCAATGCTGAGCCCTGATTGGTCAATGCAAGAGAACTCCCGTGTGCACCCTCCCCTGATACCATCTGCAGGCGTACCAAGTTAGCATACACGCCCCCCTCTTTCCTCGCACCTTCCTTTGCACTAACCACACCCCTCCCCTCATCATCCTCCCCTCCTCCTTCCCCCTCCCCCACCCCCCCATGCGTCATAAGCTCTTCATCCGTCCCCTGCTCTACCACTCTCCCCCCTGCTGATTTTTTAGGCGCCTGAATAATTGGCCCAAACCCCCCCCCATGCGTCATAAGCTCTTCATCCGTCCCCTGCTCTACCACTCTCCCCCCTGCTGATTTTTTAGGCGCCTGAATAATTGGCCCAACCCCCCCCCCATGCGTCATAAGCTCTTCATCCGTCCCCTGCTCTACCACTCTCCCCCCTGCTGATTTTTTAGGCGCCTGAATAATTGGCCCAAACCCCCCCCCATGCGTCATAAGCTCTTCATCCGTCCCCTGCTCTACCACTCTCCCCCCTGCTGATTTTTTAGGCGCCTGAATAATTGGCCCAAACCCCCCCCCATGCGCCATAAGCTCTTCATGTGTTCCCTGCTCTACCACCCTCCCCCCTGCCACCACAGCAATCTTGTCTGCATTCCGGATCGTGGACAGCCGGTGTGCGATCACGACCGTTGATCTGCCGCGCATCAGCCCGCCGTCCAGGGCCGCCTGCACCACGCGCTCTGATTCGCTGTCCAGTGCTGACGTGGCCTCGTCTTATAGCAGCACGCGGGGGTTGCGGATGACTGCCCTGGCGATGGCGATGCGCTGCTTCTGCCCTCCTGACAGCTGCACGCCCCTCTCCCCCACCTGTGTGTGTGTGCAGATTTGCATGGGGGCAAGGACAAGGAGAAAAGGTATGAGTACTTGCGTGACTTCTCTGGCGATTGGCAATGTGCTGCTTCTGGCCTCCCGACAGTTGCACGCCCCTCTCTCCCACCTGTGTGTGCATTGTCGCATGGCGGCAAGGGCAAGAGGAAAGATGATGAGGATTTGCAAATGACTGCTCTGGGGTGATGGCAATGTGCTGCTTCTGCCCTCTGGACAGCTGCACGCACCTCTCTCCCACCTGCATGCACATTCGTACACAGGAAGGGCAGGGAAAGGGGACTTCGAGTGTACCTACAATGGCCACACTGGTGACTGTAAGCAGCTACTTCTGCACCCAGGGAAAACACCCACCTTTGAGTCGCCTCAAAAGTCGTGTTCTGCACCCAGGGAAAGTACCCACCTAGGAGGAGAGGCGTGCACCCCTCTCTTTCCAGAGTGCACGCCTCTCTCCACGCCACGCCTAAAGGTGCAGAGCCAAAAAAAAACACCTCACTGCTCGCGGTCTTGAGGCGCCTAAAAAATCTCTCCACGCCACACCTAAAGGAGGGGCGCAAGAAATCTCCTCTCCCAAAACATACTCGTGCATCCAGTCAGCCCCTCTCACCTGTGTGTGGTACCCATGCGGCAGTGCGGTCACAAAGGAGTGCGCGTTAGCGATCCTTGCTGCTTGCTCCACCTCCCACATCAATGTACCCCCTGACCTGTGTGAATGGAGACCCTAACCCATATCGATGCAGCCCCTCGCACCTGTGTGTTGTACCCATGCGGCAGTGCTGTTACGAAGGAGTGCGCGTTGGCGATCCTTGCTGCTTGCTCCACCTCCTCCTACATCAATGTACCACCTCACCTGTGTGTGTGAATGGAGACCCTAACCCATATCGATGCAGCCCCTCGCACCTGTGTGTTGTACCCATGCGGCAGTGCTGTTACGAAGGAGTGCGCGTTGGCGATCCTTGCTGCTTGCTCCACCTCCTCCTACATCAATGTACCCCCTCACCTGTGTGTGTGAATGGAGACCCTAACCCATATCGATGCAGCCCCTCGCACCTGTGTGTTGTACCCATGCGGCAGTGCTGTTACGAAGGAGTGCGCGTTGGCGATCCTTGCTGCTTGCTCCACCTCCCACATCAATGTACCCCCTGACCTGTGTGAATGGAGACCCTAACCCATATCGATGCAGCCCCTCGCACCTGTGTGTTGTACCCATGCGGCAGTGCTGTTACGAAGGAGTGCGCGTTGGCGATCCTTGCTGCTTGCTCCACCTCCCACATCAATGTACCCCCTCACCTGTGTGTGTGAATGGAGACCCTAACCCGTATCAATGCAGCCCCTCTCACCTGCGTGTTGTACCCATGCGGCAGTGCGGTCACAAATGAGTGCGCGTTGGCGATCCTTGCTGCTTGCTCCACCTCCTCCTGTGTCGCATCCTCCTTGCCGTACCGGATGTTCTCCAGAATGCTGCGTCATGGGGAGAGGGGGAAGGAGCGGGGGAATGATAATGGTGAAGGGTGCGATGCATCCATACACAGCATCACACATTTGAGGTGCCCCATTGAAAGCTAGCCTCCTGTGTCGCATCCTCCTTGCCGTACCGAATGTTCTCCAGAATGCTGCGATGGGGAGAGCAGGAGAAAGAGAATGGTGAAGGGTGCGATTCATCACATACAACATCGCCATACATTTGCATCATCAGCTACCTCATCCCACCTCACCTCACCTCACCTCACCTCACCTCACCTCACCTCACCTCACCCCACCTCACCTGGTGGCAAACAGGGACGGCTCCTGGCTGACGAGCCCCAGCTGGGAGCGCAGCCACGTCAGGCTGAGCTGGCGCAGATCCGCGCCGTCCAATAAGACGGCGCCAGCTGTCGGGTCGTAGAAGCGCTGGATGAGCGCCACGACGGTTGACTTGCCGCTGCCCGATGGGCCGACCAGGGCGACCGTGGTGCCGGCAGGGATTGCGAGGGAGAAGTCCTGAGAAAGGGGGGAGGGGAGTGAGATTGGGAATAGAGGAGAAGGGAGATGAAGGGACGAGACGAGTGGTTGGTGTGAGTCAAGGCCGACGGTTGACTTGCCGCTGCCTGATGGGCCCAACAGGGCGACCGTGGTGCCGGCCGGGATTGAGAGGGAGAAGTCCTGAAGGAGGGAGGTGAATGAGGGGTGTTAGTGCATGCAGGGGACAAGGGTTGACTTGCCGCTGCCTGATGGGCCGGCCAGGGCGACGGTGGTGCCGGCGGGGATTGAGAGGGAGAAGTCCTGAAGGAGGGGAGAGGGGGATGGGGGAGAATATAGGTAAATGAAGACTTCTTGTGAAGCAAGGCGTGCAGGAGGAGGAGATTGGGAATAGAGGTGACTCAAAAGTCACCGCGTGCAGAAGGTGATTGGGAATACGTTGTGAAGCAAGGAAGGGTGGCGGGTTTGGGGTGGTAGAAGCCTCGGCTAGGGTGGTAGAAGCAGCTCACCTTAAATATCGGCACTTCAGGCCGAAGGGACTTCGCTCATAGTGGAAGAGCAGCAATTCTAAAGAGTGATGCTTAAAGCAGCAACGGTGGTAGAAAGAAGCAGCTCACCTTGAATATGGGCACTTCAGGCCGAGCGGGGTGTTTGAAGTAGTGTTTTGAGACGTCTCAAAACACTACTTCAAACACGGGTTTGAGGTGGTGGTAGAATCAGCTCACCTTGAATATCCGCACTTCAGGGCGAGCGGGGTACGCATTTTGAGGCGCCTCAAAATACACCTCACTGCTCGGTGGTAGAAGAAGCAGCTCACCTTAAATATTGGCACTTCAGGCCGAGCGGGATACGCAAAGCACACCTTCTCAAACTCCACCCGCCCCTCCACCGCATCCAACTCCTTCCCACCGCTCCCCGCCTCCCCCTCCTCCTCTCCGCCAATCGCGGGCCGTCTCGCTATAGTCACAAAGATCTTATAAGCAGCCACGCGGCCCTTGGCGAAGGCGGTGACATTAGGGAGGGCTTGGCCCAGCCCCAAGCTGCCGAGTGCGATGGCGAACATGGTGGTGAGGATTGAGCCGCCGTTGCCGATGCTGCGGGAGATGAGGAGGCCGGAGAACCAGAACATGAGGGCGAAGGACGCGAACATGAGCGCGTATATGGCGCCTAGACCCACTCCCTTGGTTAATCCTCCCTGAGAGGTGGGGGGAGGGTGGGTGGGAAGGCACGGAAAGGAGAGGTAGGGGAGAAGAGGGAGATGAGGAGACCGGAGAACCAGAGCATGAGGGCGAAGGATGCGAACATGAGGGCATAGATAGCGCCCAGACCCAGAGTCAGTCATGTAGGTAAGGACAAGTACATATCAACGCACCTTGGTGACTTTTGAGTCGACCAAAAAGGCGCCGAGTCTGAGAGAAGGATAGGTAAGGACGAGTACGTATCAACGCACCTTGACTCCCAGCTTGAACGTGTCTCTTAAAGCCCGGCCATACGCCTCCACTGTCCTGTCCTCTGCCACGTATGACTGCACTGTTCGCACCTGCCCCACCGCCTGTGGGTGGTGCAGGGAGGTTGTTTGTTTGGGTGGGCAAACGGTGGAATGAGTGTCGGGGCTCGCAAGCAAGTACCACTCCTCCCTGTCCTCTGCCACGTACCACTGCACTGTTCGCACCTGCCCCACCGCCTGTGGGTGCAGAGAGGCGAGATGGAGAAGGGGGCGACAGAGGAGAAGGGATCGAGAAGGAGGGGAGGTGAGGGGATGGTGGGGAGATAGAGAGAAAAGGGAGTGGCTCAGGATGTGCGGCCATACGCCTCCACTGTCGTACGTGGAGTGGTCCTGTCCTCTGCCGCGTGTGACTGCACTGTTCGCACCTGCCCCACCGCCTGTTGTGGGAGGGGGAGATGCAGAACGAGAAGAGGGTGTGGTGAGGGAGTGGCTCAGAGGGTGCACGGAGGTGGGGAGGGGAGTGGGGTGACGGGTGGGGGGTGGGGGTTGCAAAACAATAGGCACCCAGAAAGGGACTTCAAATGTCTATGTCACCTGGTTGAATGCCAAGGGACTTGAAGCTGTTCATGTGATTACAAGTAGTGTCTTGGATTGAGAGACGCACCTGCTCCGCAATCTTCCCTGCTTCGTTATAAGCCTTCTCGCCCTGTGTCATAAGGCCCGTGAGCACAGCCGCATAGATCCCTCCCGTGGCGATGATGAGCGGGCAGACAGCGAGAATGACCAGAGCCAGCTGCCACACGCTGGTGAATCAATCTCTGAGGCGACTTGCACATTGCTGAGCCTCCACGTTACCACGGCACAGACCACGCTTGCACCCTTTGCACACAACGTGCGCACCTGCTCTGCAATCTTCCCTGCTTCGTTATAAGCCTTCTCGCCCTGAGTCATGAGGCCCGTGAGCACAGCCGCATAGATCCCTCCTGTGGCGATGATGAGTGGGCACACAGCGAGAATGACCAGCGCCAGCTGCCACACGCTGGTGAAGCCGACTATGAAGCCGCAGACGAACGTGGAGAGGTAGTGAATGCAGTTGCCCACCTGGTTGGGGGGGAAAAGGGGGAGAGGAGGAAATTTCTGAGCTGGCGTCTTGCAGCACGTCGGACGACACGCTCGTGACGAGCTCCCCTGGACACACTACTGTAACTCCCATCAAAAGAAGTTTCAATACACGCACCCACCCACCTTCTCGAAAATGGCGTCTTGCAGCAGCAGCACGTCGGACGACGCACGAGTGACCAGCTCCCTCGAACGTGCTACAGGGATCCCCTCGAAATGAGCTCTTACATCTATTCCAATACACCGTGCTTCCTTCACCCACCTTCTCTGAGATGGCGTCTTGCAGCAGAAGCACAGAAACGACACGCGCGTCACACCAGAAGTTGCTCCCCCGAGCACGCCTCCAGGTCGAAGAACGCCACCTCCTGCCGCAGCAGCACCTGCAGAACCCAACACAACCACCCCACCACCCACCTTCTCCGAGATGGCATCTTGAACTAGCAGCACGTCAGACGAGACGCGGTTGATCAGCTCCCCCGAGCACGCCTCGAGGTCGAAAAACGCCACCTCCTGCCGCAGCAGCGCCTGCAGGTACAGCCGGCGCACCCTGGCGCTCTGTCTCTCGCCCGTATGCATCCAACACGCCACCTCTGGAGGGGGGAGGAGGAGGGACGGATGGGGGAAGGTGAGGAGAAGACTGAAAGGCTGAGTACCCCGATCGCTCCAGATGAAGCAGCAGCACCTGCAGGTACAGCCGGCGCACCCTCGCGCTCTGCCTCTCGCCCGTGTGCATCCAACACGCCACCTCTGCAGGGTGGAGGAGGGACGGATGGGGGAAGGTGAGGAGAAGACTGAAAGGCTGAGTACCCCGATCGCTCCAGATGAAGCAGCAGCGCCTGCAATTAGAGCCGGCACACCCTCGCGCTCTGCCTCTCGCCCGTGTGCATCCAACACGCCACCTCTGCGAGAGGGAGGAGGGACGGATGGGGAGAGGACTAATACAAATTACCCCGATCGGCGCACCCTCGCGCTCTGTCTCTCGCCCGCAGCAGCGCCTGCAGGTAAAGCCGGCGCACCCTTGCGCTCTGCCTCTCGCCCGTGTGCATCCAACACGCGACCTCTGGAAGGGGAAGGAAGGGATGGGGAAGGTGAGGAGAGCACTGAAAGACAAAGAACCCTCATCGCTCCAGATGAAGCAGCAGCGCCTGCAGGTACAGGCAGCGCACCCTTGCGCTCTGCCTCTCGCCCGTGTGCATCCAACACGCCACCTCTGGAGGAGGGAGGAAATGTCATTTGAGGTGAGAAAAGTGACGGGGTTTTGGAGAGACATGGACGATGACGTGGATGATGACGTGGATGATGACGTGGATGATGACGAATCCCTTTGTATGAAAAATGCGGTGGTTCTGAGACTCTGATGTAAAGGAATGGTGATTATTACCTAGCCATCCGCCAACCAAGCAGCATAAAGCGATGTAGACCATAGCGAGGACAAACTGCCACATGCCCATCCATACACATCACACGCACATTTCATGCAAACACATGCACATCACATACAATTGCACATCACATGCACATCACATACAAATGCACATCACATACAAATGCACCTCACATGCACACCGCATGCGCATCATATACACATCACACACACACCACGCGCACACCACAAGTGCAGAAATGTGAAAACGTTAGCACAGAATAGAGGGAGAGAGCGAGGCAAGAAAGCAACGTAACCAGGCACATTGTCCGCCTTACAAGCCCACTCGCCGCTGTATGATACACCCACACGTTCTCGCCTTCCTACAGCATCCCCCTCCCATCTTAACCTTCCCCCCATGCCCCTCTCCTCACGCTGCTCACCTCACATCACCTGCTTCACACCAGACAGGTCGTGTGCCGAACTAGGAATAGGAATGACAGCGGCAGATATGATTCTTGAGTCAAAAGTCAAAACACCCCTCCCTCATGCTGTCCCCCTCACGCCCTCCCCGTCAACACGCCCCTCCCCCTCACGGCGCCCCTCACCGTGTTCACGCCAGACAGGTCGTTGGTGCCGAACGAGTCGACCATCTTCCCCAGGAACAGGAACGAGATCGGCAGCGCGGCGCCGTGAAGCACGGCGCCGAGTGTGCCGACGGCCATGAGAGCCACGTCCGTACGGTCCGCGTAGGAGAAGAGCCGCCAGTACGATACCGCCGGCTGCTTCTCTTTCTTCTCTTTCTTCCCCTTCTTCTCCTTCTGCTCCCCCTCATTCTTCTCGTCCTTCTCATCCTCCGTTTCGCCGCTACGCGTCGGATTTTCCCCGTTCGGTGTCTCCGAGACGGCGACCGACGAGTCGTCTACTATCACCCCCTCTTCAAGTAATAACGGCTTTCCGCCGTCTGGAATCCCAGGGTGATCCATGCTTTCCTGGACCATTGAGAGCTGATCTGATTCACCCCCGTGTCGCTGCTTGGATCCGTCCGTCTCCCCCATTCGTTCTGAATCCGAGTATAGGAATAACTTAGATAACGGCTTATTGCTACCACTCAATTTGAAGAGGCCAGATAAGTAACGACGCAAACGAGCTCTAGAATATAGTCTGAACTGTGCGACGTGCTTTTTTTTTGCCTTATCAGATCATTGACCATCGAGCATTTGCTTATGTTCTATCCAGGCGCGAAGTAAAAACTGACTATTTACTGCTCGCTGACTCCATGAATGGTGGACCCAGAAACTAGAGGATGTTAGAGCATTAGAAAATGAGATTTCTAAAATGGCTATGTGATTGCTAAATTGGCTGTTGTGTTGTGTGTGCGGAATTTGTTTATGTTTGGGGATGGAACGTCAGGCTGACGCTGCACAGTGCAGGAAGCCGAGTTTGTGACAAGCCAATCGCGTCAGGTGTTTGTGGGCCACGATTGGATGGGCAGGTTGTCGAGTGTCAGGGTGTACTCGGCAACATCTTTGCGCCGGGTTAAGATTCGCCAAGGCTCCGCGAGACTCGTCAACACTGCGCCAACACTGCGCGAGCCTCACCAGCACTGCGCGAGGCTCGCCAACACTGCGCGAGGCTGCGCCAACACTCCCTTCCTGCCACCTCCCTAGAAATGACGACGAATATCCCAGCGGAAACGGGTCGTCAAGCATGACGACCCTCTGACGACCTGACGACATGCTGCCCCGGGCAGAAAAAAACTAAAACCCCATCGGATGGCATGCCATCCGAGGGAGCCTCAACCCTAAACACCATGCCTCCAGGTGTTTAGGGTTGATGCCTCCCTGACCGGATGCATGCCCTTCTGGGGTTTATTTTTTCTGCCCGCGGGCAGCGAGCTCCCCCGGGCGGACTCGCTTGTCCGCTGAGATATATTCGGCGGAACAAGCAGAAGAAAACTCCCGCTGCCCGTATCTCCGTAAATGTTTGCCCGTATCTCTGTTAGGTACTTGTTGTCAATTTCTCCTTGGCCATTCACCTGGCTCAAAAGAATCTACACCAGAGTTGGAAAAACACGAACAAACAAACAAGAGCTTCGCTGACGCAAGGGTGACGTTGCCATCTGCGCAAAACCTTCTGATTGGTGAAGCCTATCGACAGCGTGGAATGCTGACATCTTGCTGACACCACATGCACATGGCAAGATTCCAAATCACGAAGGGCGGATCGTTTTCGTTTGTTTACCAGGTTCAGTCGGGTGGGCAATGGTTCACCTCGTTGAACGAACTATAAATAAAGAACCTGTAAATTCCCTGTGCATGAAATGTAATACGCCATATAGATATCAACATTCCGAGGAAGACCAACTTCACTCACATACAAGAATGCACTATATCGAGTTACGGAGCGGTGAGTCCTTCCTGTCGATCCGTATCACAGAAGAAACTGCATTTCACGTGACCCATCAGCTGTCGCGTGTGCCATGCAACCCAGTGGCACGAGACGAGATCATACGTTACTCCGTTTGTTTCGCTTGTCCACTCCAGCAGGGCATGCGACAGAAACAGCAGACGAAATGCTGTTGAAAGTCATCCGCGAAGCATCTTCTTCCTAGAAGCGACTCCCAAATGGACTTCACACTGTAACCACGAAGGAATCTGTTAGTGGGGTGGTTGCTGGCGCCTTCCGCAAAAGCTTGTTCGGATCTAAACAGGTAACCCGAGACAAATCCTTGTTGGAGCATTGCTGCTTGGTCCTTATCGGACTGAATTCAGCCAAGCATCTTCGATGTTTGAATTGAATGCTGCAAGCATGCGTTGCGAACATGGGAAGGAGACATGCTTGGCGGCAGTACAGTACTGCCCCTTTGCACCGACCACGACAAACTGACCACAAGGGGGAGAGTGGGAGTGAGGAGTTGGCCATTGCGTACTAAAAACAAGAGCTCACGGCTCGCTCTTGTTGCCCAATGCCCAGCCTTGGTTTGTAAGTTGTAACGGCCGTTGCGGCAATAAGCATTGCACTTCGACTGCATTGCCCTGTGCCTGTACCCTCACCCTTGCAGGCAAAGTCCGCGATGTATATAGGTAGTGCGACTCCATCACTTCCCAATTCGACTCACGCCGCTTGTACTGTAAAACTATTCGAACCCGAAGCCCTTGATAACTTAAAAAGTTCCACCATGAGTCTTCCAAGCGCCGCACTTATGCACAGCGTCGCCTTACGATGCGCTCAGAACTCGACCTGCGCGATCGATCTCATTTCCCCAGACTCCACGCTCTCGCTCAGCAGCTTGGAACGCCACGATGCGGCTCGGGAGTGCGCCAACTTAATCGCTAACCCTCATTCTACAATCGCCAGCATTCATTCCACTAGTACCGTCAGAGCGCGCGAGCCGTTCCAGTGCATTGACGCGAGGCCGCGGCAGCTCTCGCCGATGGAAGCTCCGATTTCTCCCACCTGCGATTCCAGAATTGGACAGGAAACAGGACGTGACGTTCACCTTTCTGCGCGAGCAGGAGACTGCACACCCCGTCATGATGCGGACGTGCTAGCGCTACCGGATCGGCGAGGTTGCAGCAGCGCAGAGGCGCTATGCCCGTCCTGCTCATGGCGAATCGCAGAGCTCGCGTGCGATCCTGTGTGGATTGACGACGCTCGGTCGCGCATTCGGGGAGCGGCGCTTGCTGTCGTCGAGGCGCAACAGGCGTCCGCGGAGCTGAGCGCGCGAGTGGCGGAAGCCTCGACGGAGCTTCTGAGCGCTGGAGAAAACCAGCTTGGTTCTGTGAGAAGAAATTCTGGCTCTTTCTCAACCAAAGAGCGTCAACCTGCGACGTGCCGAAGCCCCGGCTCGTTTGGACGCTGGTGGAGCCGGGAGACGTGTAATGACGGAACAGAAGAATTCTATGGCGGAAACCTTAATAAAAATTGCAGTTACGAATCAGTTGACGCCTTGTTTGCGGACACTTCTAGTCGGAACAGAAGCCGGAGAGTCTTCCAGAAATCAGCCACGGCAGGATCAGCTAGCTTGCAAAACGTCGAAGTGACCACTCCACCTCAGTTCATTCGGCGAACGAAGACCTCGTCGCCGCGAAATGCGGTGGCAGATGCAACTCTTAGGGAAAGGCGTGGTGGAATAGTTGACATTGTGCGACTCGCAGTTATGGGGTCCTCCACACCCACATCGTGATAGCGTCAATCTATCGTAGCTGGTGCGTGATGAGGTCCCATTATTATGGCTGTTACCAGATAATCTAATAAAAGCCCCCCCCCCCAAAAGTCAAAAAAATAGAAACCCCTAGGGGCCTTTATCCGGGGGAATACGGTACTAAATCATACAGCCATACAGTAATTGGTTGGAGCACACTCGGAGTTTCCTTGTACCCTGACTATGGGGTAATTTTGCCTCTCGTTATTCCTTCCTAGAGATACAGTCATGCACAGTATCACCAGTATCACCACCATATTGCCATCCACACCAGCTACCACATCCTCCTACGGTATGCTCTTCTTGCTGCCACACACACACCCACACAAATCAGCCCTTTTTCACAGACTTCTGAGGTCCTGTATGGCACCATACAGGGAAGATGTCTTGGAATAGAATAGGCTACGGGCAGAACTGATCAGTTCTGCTGGTTATTCTGATCCTAGATTGTGCTGCCGCCAGCAGCCTGCTGGTGGGTGCTATTGGCTGAGCTCTCTAGGGTAGCAGGGACTGCTAGTGTGTGTGGGTGCCACTCAGTTAAGATTCTCCCTGTGCTCCTCCTGCCAGCAACCTCCAGGTGGTATGGTCTCAGAGTGCTCCGGAGCAGTGGCTAGCTTAGTGTGAAACATGGTGAAGAGGTACCTACTAGTACGTACGGTATCTCTTGAAAACTTGCTTAGCTATGGGAACGTTTTGGGGAAGAAGTCACACGCCGGAACAACCAAGGATGGAGTGATCCTTCATTGGGCTGCGGTCCAGCCTGTTATATTTCATTTGCGAGATTCGATCCTTCTGTTAAACACTTGTCAACATACATACTACTACTTAAACACTTGTCAACATACATACTACTACTAACTTTTAATATCTATTACTCCGGCCTTTCAACAACACTTGTCAATCAACTGCACTTGCACCTGTTATTCCAAATCAAAGCAGCCGCTACTTTAGCTCTAGTCGCACTTGGAGCGGCACTTTTTGGCCTTTTTCTTGCACTTCTTGTACGTGTGCGTGCACTTGTGGTGGTCGTGTTTGTCGTCCTTGTTCTCGCGCTTGCACTCGCTGTAATCCGTATTGCACTTCTTGTTCTTGTCCTCGCAGTCCGACTTGCACGACAGCATGCGCGGCGACCACAGGAACCGCCTGCTCACGCGGTATAGCGCATTCACGAGACCTGGAAACAAAGAAGGAAAGAAGCGGGAAGGTAAGAAACGATTGAGTTCACGAGATCTGGATCAGGGAGGGCAGGAACCGAACATTTTCAACATTGGGAATAGTGGATTGTTGTTACGAATTAGAGCAAGGCATGGCAGGGTAGGGGCGGAGGGATCGCGGCGCCCTGCGGCATGGTGCCACTGAGCGCAATGTAGTAGCCAACGCACCAGGAGGCGACGCGTCGGCGGAAATGGCGGCGTCCGACACGTCGTCGTCGGCGTCGTCTTCCGCGTCGATCTCATTCGCGCGGCACGACGGCGCCAGCGCGAGAGATACGAGCAGGGAGAGCGCGAGCAGGACGAAGAAAAGCTTGGAACGCCTCATGGCTGCAGCGGTTGCGAGTTTTGAGAATTCTCGACGATCGACTGGGGTGGTGTGTTGGATAGGAGGAAATCGTGAGGTGATATTGCGCAATCCTTATAGTAGAAGCCCGGGTTGTAAAGCTTCTTCTCTGGCTGAAATGGAGCTGGTACCGATTAACATTTAGGTCCTGGCTTATATAGTACTCATGGTTCCTAGCACGTGCGTACATCGTGATAAGCCAAGGATAGTGGTTGGTCGGTGCGATAAGGTAAGTCTGGTGGAGAAGTTTTGGTCGGTGTATTGAGCTGGACTATGTACGGGTATGTGCGCGCGATTCAAAAGCAGTTGCGTGGGATTGCTTGCTCAGGGATCTGAAACGTGGGACGCACGAGGAGCAACGTGGGGTTCACTTATGATCATGGGTTGGGGGGAAGATGGGATGGGATGGGATGCGACGAGAGGAAGCTGGAAGGATTGTTTGCAGCGAAACGAAATGCAAAATTCGAACCGCACAATGCGACTCAAATGGCTTTTGCGCGACGCGGACCCGATGCGCCAGATTCTCCCGACGATATTTTGATCCCGTTCACATATTTCAATAAAGAGTATTTCGCCATGGCGAAACATATAGGCCGAATGTGGTGGACCTTGAGAAATATCTTAGGTGCATTGGATGAGGTGCTTGGATAATACGTCTATGTGTGTGTGAATCCACCAACATATAACCTACTAACAACATGTAAATCAGTCGACTAACGAAGCACATAATTCATTCCTTTTATAAAATCCTATCACGCACATTACACGATATTCTTTCTCAAGCAAGCACATCGTTTGGTAGTCCAGCGCTTCGTTCAGGTATCCTCATGTTCCGTTGACATGTTATTCACCAACCTTGCATTCTTCCACTGCCTATTAGTGCTACTGGTAAGTGCTACACCCATGAAAAGTAACACCATACCGATTGCTATCACCACCAGGTTCATCCACCTCTTCTCTTCCTACATCCACACCCACACCCCTGCACCCCCCCTTCCTGGACCCTCAACACCAGTACCAGCTGCCGCGTGCCCTTGTATATCTTGCCTCCGCTCATTCTTTCGGTCCTGGTTCATACGGTACCGTACTTGCATGGTTGCCAAGGCAGCCAATTCCCATAGTGGTACTACTCTTCCCCGCCCTTCCCTAACCTCCCCCCCTCCTGGCTTATCCGACACCTCCATCTCCTCTCCTCCTTCTCCTTCCCCCCGCTTCCCCACCCCCTGCTTTCCTATTCCCGCTGCCACCCTTGTTTATGGCAAAATCAGCATAAGCAACAATGTCTTCCAACGGAATACACATTATCCTTGCTCTCCCCAGCAGCACCATTTCCCCCTGGTTTCTATACCCGTGCTCCCTCACTTGGTTCTCTCACCCGTAAAACAGGCTGAGACTTTGAGAGTTCTCTGGGGCAGCAGAAGAGGCTTCCTTAGTGTGTACTTGAAGTGACGAGGAGATATTACGACCTCCTGAAAATTGCTTGGCTTTGATTTTTTTTAGGAATAAATCACGGTGTAACACCTGGGGATGGTCTGATCCTTATTTTTATATTCAACACTTGTCAGTATACGGTACATGAAAAACTTGACGCTGCCTACTTTTTCCTAACTCCACCACATCCTACGGTATTTTGGAACAAGCGCCAGCCTGAGTTACCCTCCGATCCACTCACCACCGCCTGTTACGTCTGAAGCATTCCTATCAATGCCCCACTAGTATCAACTTTCTGCCTCTTCTACTTAGTCGCAATTGGAGCGGCACTTTTTGGCCTTTTTCTTGCACTTCTTGTACGTGTGCGTGCACTTGTGGTGGTCGTGTTTGTCGTCCTTGTTCTCGCGCTTGCACTCGCTGTAATCCGTATTGCACTTCTTGTTCTTGTCCTCGCAGTCCGACTTGCACGACAGCATGCGCGGCGACCACAGGAACCGCCTGCTCACGCGGTATAGCGCATTCACGAGACCTGGAAATAGGGAAGGCAGGAAGCGGGAAGGTAAGAAATAGTGTACGAGACGGAAACAGGGAAGACTTTAGGAACGGTCGAATCCGACTAAGAGTGCCACGTCCAGGGCTTTGTTGTGACAAATTAGAGCAAGGCATGACAGGGAAGGGGCGGATGAGGCGCCGCGACATCCGGCATTGCGTCGCTGAGCGCAATGCAGTATCCACGCACCAGGAGGCGACGCGTCGGCGGAAATGGAGGCGTCCGACAAGTCGTCGTCGGCGTCGTCGCCTTCCGCGACGATCTCATTCGCGCGGCACGACGGCGCTAGTGCGAGGGATACGAGCAGCGAGAGCGCGAGCAGGACGAAGAACAGCTTGGAGCGCCTCATGGTTGCGAGTTTTTAGAATTCTCAGCGATAGATTGGGGTGGTGATCGTCAGGAAAACTCGCAACACTTCGGGTAGAAGTCTGGGTAGTGAAGCTTCTTTTATGGTTGAACTGGAGCTGGTACCAATTAACATTCAGGTCCAGGCTTTTAAAGCACTCACGGTGCCTAGCACGCGTGTACATCGTGATAAGGCAAGTATAGCGGCTGGTCGGTGGTATAGCCGCCGGTCGGTGATAAGGTAAGTCTGGTGGCGTAGTTTTGGTCGGTGTTTTGAGCTGGACTATGTACGGTACCGATGCGTGCGTGCGAATCGAAAAGGGGAGATGGGAAGCCTGATACGGGTATGGCGTGGGATTGCTTGCTCAGACAGTTCTGGAACGTGGGAGGCATGAGGAGCAACGTGGGATTCAGTTTCGATCATGGGTTGGGGGGGAAAGGGGAGATGGGGATGCGATGCGACGAGAGGAAGCTGGAAGGGGTGCTTGCATTGAAACAAAATGCAAAAATCGAACCGCACAATGCGCGACGCGGGCCGATGCGCCAGATTTCTCAGCGATTTTTCATCCCGTTGGCTGATTTCGATAAAGAGTATTTCGCCATACACTAATCACAGGAAAAAGCAATGGTTATGGAAAGTGTATGGCAGAACATGGTGCTTGGATACACTCCCGGTATGTGTAAATTTTACCAATGACAACATGTGAATCCCCCGGAAGAAGCACATACAATAGTAATTGCTTCTACATTGTCCATCACGCAATCTACAAAACATTCTCCATTAGACAAGCACATCCTTTGATAGTCCACCAGCTCGGCGTTTTGGTTTCCTCACGTTCCCCTCCCTATCGTCCCCACTTGACGCATTATTTTTGGTTGACCTTGCGCCCCTCCGCTTCCTCTTATTCCGCAGTGTCACACCCATGAACAGTAACACCATACCTGCAAACCACCCCACGTACATCCACCTCTGGTCTTCATGCATCCACACCCACACCCCTGCTGCCACCGCCCTCGAACCCCCACCATAGCCTTGTAAAAAGCGCCTCCACTCCGATACCCAAAGTACTACCATTAACAACTACACCTGCCCCCTCCCTACCCTCCCCCTCTCCTGGTTTATCTTGCTCTTCCGCCTCCTCTCCCTCTCCTTTGCTGTCTCCTTCTCCTTCTCCATCCCCTGCCTCCCCATCCCCACTTTCATCCTCGTTTGTGGCTGAATCAGCATAGGCAACACTGCCTTCATCGGAAGGAATATTCCCCTCCTCCCCAGCACCACCTCTCACTCTTAACTTCCTTACCCGTGCTCCCTCTCTCGGTTCTCTCACCACAAGGAAACCTCTTTCCAGCCCTGCTCGTTCCTTCATTTCTGTCACATCCACAACATAGTCACCCTGCACTCTAATCCCCTTTCTAGCCCCTCCTTTCACAGTGCCCCCCTCTTTCCCACCCCCACTCACACTCTCACTTCCACCCTCAACCCCTTTCTCACTCACTCCCTCACTCCCTCCCTGACGCCCTCCCTCACCCTCTCCTTCCCTCTCTTTCCCACTCCCTCTCTCCCTAGCCCAGACATCGGCCCTCAATTCGCCCGTTACTGTAGGGGAGGCCCCACCCAAATCCATTATCCCCACATCCCTCTCCCACTCCACCAAACACCCCCTCTTCACCCTGTGAAACTCCCTTAAAGCCCGGTTCAGCACCGCCATACACTCTATCACGATAAAATCCCGCCGCCTCTCCTCGTACGTCTGGTTTCCGGGCAGCGCGGAAATTTCCGGCGGGTCGGGGAAATGCTGCCCGCAGGTGTTGACCATGTCTTGGCGATAGTAGGCCGATTTGTCCCATTGCCAATCTAATACCTTGAGTTCTAACCCGTAATGAATCATTCGTGGATCGACCCCTTTAGGAGGGTCGTAGCCTGGGTAAAGCATGGCGCTGTCTATCATAATGTGCTTTAGGCCCACCTGGGAGAGGGAAAGAAGGCGGAGGAGAGACAGTGGATATGAGAGGGACGGGATGAAGTGACGGCAAGGATAGGCCGGTTGGCCCAGGTAAAGCATTGCACTTTCTATCATGATGTGCTTTAAACCCACACAAGATGCCCATAGCGATGTCAGACTCTCGCTGATCCACCGCTGTCCGTGCACGTCCCCTGTGGCGCTCACAGTGTAGTTCAAACCACACACAGAGATGCACGTAGTGATACTAAATGAGATGCCAGGACTCACATCAGATGACCCGAAGGAGTAGCCGTACATCTCGCTAATCCACCGCTGCCCGTGAACATCCCCCGTGGCGTTGATGGTGTAGTGCTCCACGTCTGCCCGCACCTCCTCGCTCTTGGTGCTCCAGATGGGCGCCAGCCGCCTCAGGTCCTCCACGTGAATCACTATGTACCCGCCCACCTATGCGCGGTTGGGAGTGGTTGGGTGTGGTTGCATGCGGTTGGATGTGAAGGGAGAAAGTGAGGGGACAAGAGAGGAAATGGCACTCCTTTGGAGCTCCAGATGAGCGCCAGGCGCCTCAGGTCCTCCACGTGAATCACAATGTACCCGCCCACCTGTGTGCAGGTGTGGTTGTGTGCGGTTGGGTGCGGTTGGGTGCGGAGGGAGCAAGCGATAATTCAATCCTGTCTGTCATTTTACACTCCCTTGGCGCTCCAGATGGGCACTACGCCAGGCGCCGCAAATCATCCACGTGAATCACAATGTAGCCCCCCCCCCCACCCCTGTGCGCGGGTGTGTGGCTGGGTTGTGGGACGGAGAGAGAAAAGTAGGAGAACGAGAATGTGTGTGCGCGTGGTTGGGTGTGGGAAGAGGAGAGAAATAGAGGGAAGAGGAGGGAAAGAGGAGGGAAGGAGGAGGGAAAGAGGAGGGAAGGAGGAGGGAAAGAGGAGGGAAGGAGGAGGGAAAGAGGAGAGAAGGAGGAGGGAAGGAGGAGGGAAGGACGAGGGAAAGAGGAGGGAAAGAGGAGGGAAAGAGGAGGGAAAGAGGAGGGAAAGAGGAGGGAAAGAGGAGGGAAAGAGGAGGGAAAGAGGAGGAGCTCACCTTGTCACAATACGTGGCGTTGTTCATGTGCAGCTCGCCAAAGCTGTTGTCACACCCCTTGAGGTAGCTGGTGGGGCGGCGCGGGAGGGGGAAGAGAGAAGGAGCGTTAAGCGAGACGTAAAAAAAGGAACCAGTGAGAGAGATGAGAAGTGGCGTTGTTCATGTGCAGCTCGCCGAAGCTGTTGTCACACCCCTTGAGGTACCTGGTAGGGGGATGGGGGAGGGGGGAGAGAAGTGTAAAGCGAGGGGTAAAAGAAAGGAAACTCAGGAGCCTAGAGAGCAGTCATGAGGGGCCAAGAGGAGCAAAGAGGAGTTGGGAGGAGTCAAGAGGAGTCAAGAGGAGCCACAGGAGGAATGATTTTGCACAACGGATCTTGCAGTGAGTTCCATTCGTCATGTAACACGGTTACCATCTCTCACCCGTAATTCGCTGACACTGGGTGACCTCGCTCCGCCCCAAGCTCCCAGGGCAGCACCGGCATCCTTATAAGCTGATCCGCGTCCATTATAAGCACCCACTCGACGTCATTCGCATCGGGACTGTTGTCCAGCCAGTATTTAACCCCCACTGGCTTATTAATCGCCGGGTACCAGTCTCCTGTTCTAGGGCCCCGGCTCCAATTAGGGACCACCATAGTTGGAGCAATATCTAGCCCTCTGTACCCCTTAAGCGCATCCTCGTTACAAGCCAGAAGCCGCACAAGCTTCCCTGGCTGGCCTGACCGTTTGAAGCTATAAGCCATCGCTACTGACTGCCAGTCCATGTAAGTGGAGCATTCGGCTGAAAAAACTGTGATTATACGCGGAGTTCCCTTAACATGAAACGGGCGCCAGGCGTTCGGATCCAGGCTCGGATCCACACGAACGTCCACCCCTAGGTTCGGCAAAGGCACGGGGACGGGTGGCCAATCGTCTAGCTCCAGTACCTCCATAGTAGAGGCGTCTCTAAAGGCTGGTGGTAGAACCGCGCTGGCGTTTTCCCGCCAAGATTTGAACCACCGTTCCAGCTTCTCAGGAGTGTCGGCCAGTGGTGTAGATTCCTCCTCCTCTTCTCCCCCCTCTGCTGAACTTTCTTCACCTCCCTCTTCCGCCTCCTTCCCGCCCCCATCCCCCTCCTGTTCTACCCTGTCTCCAGTGTTGACTTTGTCGTCTTCCGCCTCCTTCCTGTCTCCACCTGACTCCCCCTCCCCCTCCCCATCCTCCTCCATTACCTCCGCCGTTCTGCCCTCTGAAGCATTGTCAGGTTGATCCCTGACACCGTCACTGCTAGGCCCTTTTCTGTCACCTTCGACAGTATTAGCACCAGCAGCGACTGCACCACCGTTAGCAGCACCACCGGTAACACCACCATCAGTAGTACCGACCCTGCTGGAGGACAAAGTGGTGGTTGCTGATTGGCCGAAGGCCTGGTTGAAGAGATTTCCGCGCAAAAATAGGAGGCTCCGCAATGTGGGTCCTGATGTGGCCGCCTTGGGTGATTGCAGATGGTTACCGGTGCTAACGGAATCCGGATCGTCGACAGACGAGGAGGATGAGGATGAGGGGGTATTTTCATGCAGATCCAGAACGTTCCGTAATGTCGGCCCCACAGGTGCATCTACATTGGTTGAACGGGGAACGATATTGGTGATATTGTTGTCCGTGGGAGAGTAGGACGCCAGTGACGCAAGCGGATCCGCCTTTAGCGAGGGTAGGATCGACAGGAGTAGGACGAGCAAAAGTAAGTAATAAGGATTTGGATACATCATGATTATTACGGAGATGTCGAGTGATCCGAGGAGAAATGCTTCAGAGGAACCAGCGCAAATGGAGCATGTCTGTGTGTGTTCCAGAATAATCCAAAAATGATGATGGTAGGTAACGATGTAATTGTGGGTATGGTCGCGCGTGCTTTAGTGGAAAATCCTACGACGAGGATACATGCGTGGTACTGAGCATCGAATCTGGTCCATTGGGAGGAATACAAGCATTGGGAATAGGAGGATCGCGAACAGCAGCATAGGGATTACGAGCCTTGGGAATATTTCTTACGGATATATCGGAGAGGGAAAGAAAGTTGCTTTGCTATTGCCTTCCATGAATAACTCGGGAAGGAGCAGGTTCCCGCTTTCCATGAATGATCCCCAGATTTCTCTGGGAATGCCATAAACGTCACTTGGCGGATTTTTTTGGCGAAAGCGACACTACTTTCGCTGATGCCCAAGTATGGTCTGCACGCGAGTGAAGTTCGTCATTCCCTCCGTGCGGTTGCTAAAGTTGTCGCAAAAGTTACAGGTTTTCGGGGGCCAACTTCTGGGGCTGACTAGATTGATCTCTGACAGAGCTGTCAGAGCAGAGGGCTGTGTTGTCGTAAATCTCGTTATTGAAATGCTCAATAAGAAGGTCATCGTCCTGAATTGGCTTTCATTTTCACGGATCCAGATGACTGATGCCACATTTTTCACCAAACGGTACAGTATGTTTCCTCACGTCTATTCAACGGTTGAAGCGTTTAATATTCGGTTCCGTGAATTCACGTTTCAGGATGTCAGAATTTGATCACGTCCTTAAAGCAAGGGTGCACATTCCAAGGGGTGGGTTTCGGGTGTATTTGTTTGGTACACCCCTTGGGGTGCTGTGAATGGTTGGCGAAGAGTCCAACCATATGAAACACTAGAGAGAGGGTTGGAGAATGTGCTGGCGAACACAAAAATAATTCGTCCGCGAGTTGGGTTGGGGGAACAGACGACGGAAGGTGAGGCAAGTGATAAACCTTTGCCTCCAACCCCCCCAAAGTGCACCCTTGCTTTAAGAATTCCTGAGCCTATCAGAAACCACAAGGCTAGTGCATGACCAGTGAATTTTAGGAGGCGAGGCAACAGGATTCAGTGTCCTGCGGCTGCGTCGATCGCCAATCGAATCATATGACTTCTCTAGTTGGTTTCTCGACCGACTTAGCATCAACAGCTTCTCACGGTAGGTTGTCTCCGTAATCAGAGAGCTGCAGGAGACCAATTACAGGGTCCGTCAAGGTCCTCGGGTTTTGAGAGTTCAGCTTCTTTGTGTCAATGTCGGATTATCCTCTCGGCTCCAATACCCTCTCATTGCACTATGTCCTCGTTTTAGAGTTGTTCTGTATGAATTTCCTAGTCTTCGTATAGGACACACTAAGGATCCTCCTCGTCATAACACTCAAAACATCCGTTAAACGTTCGCATTTTTCAAGACGAGCAGCGTTTGATTGGGCCCTCTTAACGTCCGGAAGCTCCTCTGTCATCCCGATCTCCACTAGTCAGACTTCCTGAGGACCAAAAATTTAATACCTTGTAGTTACTGGTACCGTCGCGATGCCTCCGAAAGGAGGCGGAGGGGGACGGGGAAGGGGAAGAGCCGCAGCCGGTGGCGGAAGAGGATCGGGGGGAGGCGGACGCGGGGGGGGGGTCGAGCGGCGCAAGGGAGAGCGCCGGGGGTTACTGGGAAGCAGTCAGTTCCTGCTCCCAGCGGACAAGGCGGGAAGGCTGACATATCAAATAGAGTTGGGGTTGTAGCTCCTTCGGGTGTCTCCTCTGCTGGCGCGACGAGGGTGGAGGGAGGCGGGAATGCCAAGCCGGTGACGCTCATTAGTGGAGGGTTGGGGAAGAACGCGTTCGAACGAGCCACGGAGGTTCGGTTAAGTCCCGAGGCTGAAGAGCAGCTTCGGATGCTGGTTGTTAAGGTGAGAGGAGTTTTTTCAAGAGCTGGCATTGGAAAGAGTTGCAGCTACTTTGGTTTAGTGCTATACCCATGTATGATCAGTGCTTTTGCCATGCTCCTTGCCCTTTTCTTCGGTTTTTGAGACGCAGAAGTCTGAAACTTCCATATTTCTTGTGTTCTGTTTGTTGTGACGGTTTGACATAATGATTCAGGCATACGATACCAAGGGAGGTGCGAACGGCAGCAGCGCCTTGGACGCTTCTCCTGCATCCCCATCATATTCCACAGACAGCCATGCTGGTCCCATGACGGTACTTGAAGAAAAGACAGCCAACAGGCGCATTTTATCCGCATACGAAACACTCTCTAGAGAGGGATTTACTGTAGAGCAGGTGGAGAATGCGCTCTCGTCACTCGTCCCCTCCTCGCTTTCTCTGGAAGCAGCTTTTGATTGGCTCTGCCTGCACTTGGCACCTCAGCAGCTGCCACGTCACTTCGCGTCTGCAGCTACCACTGCCACGCTGGCACGAGGTGACGTGGAGGTGGTGCTGGCTGCTGCTGACGTGGAAGGGGAAGGACAGCGAGGAGGCGACGACGCATGGGGAGGAGATGGAGATGAGGACGGGGGAAGGGGGGGACGGTCGTTAGCAGAAGAAGCTGAGAGATTCAGGAAGATGGAGGAAGAGAGGAAAGCGAAAGAGGAGGCAGAAGAGAAAGAGAGAGAGAAGGAGAGGAAGAAGAAGCAAGCGGATTGGATCAAACGGTATGTGACTGAGTACGAGAGTGAGGAGGAGGAGAGTGAGAATGAAGGAAAGGAGGAGGAAGAGGAGGGAGAGGAGGAGGATGACTGGGAGAAGGTAGCGGATGGGGGGGGCTCAGGAGGATCTACTGCAGGAAACGACTTGCTAAAGGGTTCTCCTCTCTGGGAGGTGAGGCTTGGAAAAGGGTGCTTTCTTGCTGTGCCTACAAGCTCTTACCTGCATTTGTGCTGTTCGCATAGTGTTCCGGTCTTGGCCTGTCATGCTGTATCTTACACCCCGTGCTGTTGCGTGTGCGTGTGCTGTGTTCTGCTCTGTTTACAGGTTTGGGCCGATGCAAGAGAGAGAAGACGGAGAAAAGAGCTCAGGAAAAAGGTAATGGCTTCCACCTTCAGGTGTCCTCTCAGGTGCCTAGCCCCCAATCCACCCCGCTCCTCTTCGTGTTGAAGGACTTAAAGTATTCTCTCAAAAGTCTCAAAATTATTGGAACGTAAACCCTACACCCTGAATCTGAACCATTGGCGTTGAACCAGGGGAGAGGAACTTAGTGGATTCCCTGGCCCACATTATTTCCCCCTCCCTCTCCAACCCCTCTTGCCCCCAAATCCTGCCTTGCTCCCCACCCCAGGCCCCTGCAGAGCAGCGCGTGCAGTCCTTGGCGGTGGATTTAGGGAGGGCCAAGGGGGAGGCGGCGAAGGCGAAGGGGAGCATGGACAAGGGCAGGCAGGCAGAGGCGGGGCTGCTGATCCGCGAGCTCAAGGAGGAGGCTGCAGCGTATGGTATGGCATGTGCAACGGTAGGGCTCTCGATGTGTGAATGTGCATGAAGGCTGCAGCGTATGGTATGGCCCATGCGTTGCTCTGGTCAAGGGACGTGTACATCGGTGGTATGACTTGCCTTGCACTGAATCTGCTTTTCCTAAGACGTCTAGAAAGGGCGCATGGACAAGGGCCGGCAGGCAGAGGCAGGGCTGCTGATCCGCGAGATCAAAGCAGAGGCTGCACCCCCCGCTCATACGCTGCACCGCCCGCTCATACGCTGCACCGCCCGCTCATACGCTGCACCGCCCGCTCATACGCTGCACCGCCCGCTCATACGCTGCACCGCCCGCTCATACGCTGCACCGCCCGCTCATACGCTGCACCGCCCGCTCATACGCTGCACCGCCCGCTCATACGCTGCACCGCCCGCTCATACGCTGCACCGCACGCTCATACGCTGCACCGCCCGCTCATACGCTGCACCGCCCGCTCATACGCTGCACCGCACGCTCATACGCTGCACCGCACGCTCATACGCTGCACCGCCCGCTCATACGCTGCACCGCCCGCTCATACGCTGCACCGCCCGCTCATACGCTGCACCGCCCGCTCATACGCTGCACCGCCCGCTCATACGCTGCACCGCCCGCTCATACGCTGCACCGCACGCTCATACGCTGCACCGCCCGCTCATACGCTGCACCGCCCGCTCATACGCTGCACCGCACGCTCATACGCTGCACCGCACGCTCATACGCTGCACCGCACGCTCATACGCTGCACCGCACGCTCATACGCTGCACCGCCCGCTCATAAGCTGCACCGCACGCTCATACGCTGCACCGCCCGCTCATACGCTGCACCGCCCGCTCATACGCTGCACCGCCCGCTCATACGCTGCACCGCCCGCTCATACGCTGCACCGCCCGCTCATACGCTGCACCGCCCGCTCATACGCTGCACCGCCCGCCCGCTCATACGCTGCACCGCACGCTCATACGCTGCACCGCCCGCTCATACGCTGCACCGCCCGCTCATACGCTGCACCGCCCGCTCATACGCTGCACCGCACGCTCATACGCTGCACCGCCCGCTCATACGCTGCACCGCCCGCTCATACGCTGCACCGCCCGCTCATACGCTGCACCGCCCGCTCATACGCTGCACCGCCCGCTCATACGCTGCACCGCCCGCTCATACGCTGCACCGCACGCTCATACGCTGCACCGCCCGCTCATACGCTGCACCGCCCGCTCATACGCTGCACCGCACGCTCATACGCTGCACCACACGCTCATACGCTGCACCGCACGCTCATACGCTGCACCGCACGCTCATACGCTGCACCGCCCGCTCATAAGCTGCACCGCACGCTCATACGCTGCACCGCCCGCTCATACGCTGCACCACCCGCTCATACACTGCACCGCCCGCTCATACGCTGCACCGCCCGCTCATACGCTGCACCGCCCGCTCATACGCTGCACCGCCCGCTCATACGCTGCACCGCCCGCTCATACGCTGCACCGCACGCTCATACGCTGCACCGCCCGCTCATACGCTGCACCGCCCGCTCATACGCTGCACCGCACGCTCATACGCTGCACCGCACGCTCATACGCTGCACCGCACGCTCATAAGCTGCACCGCACGCTCATACGCTGCACCGCCCGCTCATACGCTGCACCACCCGCTCATACACTGCACCGCCCGCTCATACGCTGCACCGCCCGCTCATACGCTGCACCGCCCGCTCATACGCTGCACCGCCCGCTCATACGCTGCACCGCCCGCTCATACGCTGCACCGCACGCTCATACGCTGCACCGCCCGCTCATACGCTGCACCGCCCGCTCATACGCTGCACCGCACGCTCATACGCTGCACCGCACGCTCATACGCTGCACCGCACGCTCATACGCTGCACCGCACGCTCATACGCTGCACCGCACGCTCATACGCTGCACCGCCCGCTCATACGCTGCACCGCACGCTCATACGCTGCACCGCCCGCTCATACGCTGCACCGCCCGCTCATACGCGCACCGCCCGCTCATACGCTGCACCACCCGCTCATACGCTGCACCGCCCGCTCATACGCTGCACCGCCCGCTCATACGCTGCACCGCCCGCTCATACGCTGCACCGCCCGCTCATACGCTGCACCGCACGCTCATACGCTGCACCGCCCGCTCATACGCTGCACCGCACGCTCATACGCTGCACCGCACGCTCATACGCTGCACCGCACGCTCATACGCTGCACCGCACGCTCATACGCTGCACCGCCCGCGCATACGCTGCACCGCACGCTCATACGCTGCACCGCCCGCCCATTCGCTGCACCGCCCGCTCATACGCTGCACCGCCCGCTCATACGCTGCACCGCACGCTCATACGCTGCACCGCACGCTCATACGCTGCACCGCTCGCTCATACGCTGCACCGCCCGCTCATACGCTGCACCGCACGCTCATACGCTGCACCGCCCGCTCATGCGCTGCACCGCCCGCTCATACGCTGCACCGCACGCTCATACGCTGCACCGCCCGAGCATGGATTGTTGTTGCTACGGGATTCTCCCTTCATGTGGATCTCCATGGTTGTTATCCGACAAGCATGTACACGTTTTGAGCATGTACATTATTGTGATTTTCTGGTGTTGCTTTCTGGTGCAGGCTATTCCGAGTCCTCGCTCGAAGAGGCCAACCAGCAGCAGCATTTCGCTAAAAAAGAAAAAGAGGAAAACGAGGAAGAGGAGGGAGGTTTTGGGCTGTTTGGGGAGGAGGACGAGGAGGAGGAGGGGGCAGGTGCGGAGAGGAGCGGAGTGTCATTGGAAGGGGAAGGGGCAGGGGCAGGAGCAGCAGGAAAGGCAGCAGAAACGGAGGCAGAAGAGGAGGATGTGGGACTGGATGGGATGTCTCTCTTCGATGATGAGAGTGATGAGCAAGGAGGGATGGGGAAGGGCGCAGCAGCAGCACTGCCAGAGAGTGTGTTGGCACTGCAGAGAAAGAGTGCGAGGGAGAAGGCATGGCAGCAGCAGCAACAGCAAATGCTGGCAGGTGGCAGGGGGGGAGGGAAGGCTGGAGGGAAGGATAAGAAGGGGAAGGATGCTGCTGCTGCGGACATGCAACGGCAGCCCAAGGCTCTGCTGCAGCAGCACTGCCTTAAAGCCCTCTGGCCCGCTCCCAAGTACACGAAGCTTCCAGGAAGCAGCGGCACAGGGAAGTTTAGCTACTCGGTGACTGTGGTACGGCAGGGGGGGAGGGGAGGAGGGGGTAAGGGAGGAGGAGCGGGAGGGGGGAAGGGAGGGGGAGTGGGGGTAGGGCCAATCACGTTTCAGGTGCCCGCAGCAGAGGATGGGTTTGAGAGTGTGTCAGAGGCTCAGAACGCAGTGGCTCTTCTGGCCTTGCATGCTCTCCTGCCGCACATGCCTCTGCACCATCAGCTTGTCTCCCCTTACCGAGAGCAGTGGCTGGAACTGGCAGAGAAAGCAGGTGAATTTGTTTTGAAACGTCTCACTAAGATATCTCATGATCTGTTTTCTTAATGGTGGAACAACATGCAGTGGCTCTTGTTGCCCTTCATCATTTCACTTCCCCGTGTGGATTTCTCTTGCAAGAACTCGAGCTATTCCATTCTCACATGTCTCCCTCCCCTTGTGCCCCCAGATGCTGCAGAGACGAGCAGCAGCAGCGCAGCTGCAGCAGCAGAGGCAGCAGCCAGGCACCAAGTCAAGTTCGCTGCAGCACTCGTGGATAAAGAGATTAGGGCTAGGGAGGCCGCTGCTGCTGGTGGTACTGGTGCTGATGGTGCTGGTGGTGGCGATGCTGAGGAGAGCCCATTCAAGGGTGCAGAAAAAGAGAAGGCGATGGGAGGAGGGCAGAAGAAGCAAAAAATCTCTTTCCTTGGGCAAGAGGAAGGTGAGTGAGTGATTCTTTCCATCTTAGCTTCTCAAAACTAGTGTCATCTGAATTTCCAGATCACAATGTTTTGACATGACTCATGGCTCATGGCTCGTTCCCGTGACTTGACATTTCTTTTAAGGTCAGTGATGGTTCTAAGGTCACTGATGGCAAAACCTCAGAGGGGGAGTGGAGATTTCAACCTCCCTCCCTCTTCCCCCCGGCTCGCACTATCCTTCTCCCAGTCCCGGCTGTGGTGCGCAAGAGGGAGGCTCGGAGGCGGGAGCTGCAGCAGCGGTGGTACCAGTGGCAGGGCCTGGCAGTTGGAGGGGCAGGCGGGGCAGGAGGAACAGGAGGAACAGGAAGAACAGGAGTCACGTTGTTCCTCTCTCTCCCCTATCTCCCCATTGTTCCCCTCCCAGGCCCGGTTGTGGTGCGCAGGAGGGAGGCTCAGAGCCGGGAACTGCAGCAGCGGTGGCGCCAGTGGCAGGGCCTGGAAATTGGAGGGGCAGGCGGGGCAGGAGGAACAGGAGGAACAGGAGGAACCAACAGAGAGACAATGGAAACAAGTGAGAGGAGGGCGATGCAGGAGATGAAGAGGAAGCGAGGAGAGTTACCAATGGCAGCAGTGAGGGAGGAGGTGGTGCAGGCGTTGAGGGAGGGGGATGTGGTGGTGGTGAGTGGGGAGACCGGGTCGGGCAAGACCACCCAGGTGCCCCAGTATATCTTTGAGGATGCGGAAGCTTCCGGGAAGGCGGGGTTCTGCAATATCGTGTGCACGCAGCCTCGACGAATTGCTGTGAGTTGATGAGGGTTCCCGGGAAATCAAGAAAAAACTTCTTTGGTTTCCTTCTTCGTGAAGGTTTTCTATGTGATTCTTCAAGTATCATCACAATTCTTTGAACTTCATTGCAACTCCACCCGCATCCCACTCCTCACCGTCTCTCCCCGTCTCTTGCACCCCTCCCAGGCCATATCGGTGGCAGAGCGAGTGGCAGCAGAGCGGTGTGAGCCGCCTGTTGGGAGTGGCAGCAGGGGAGGAGGTCCTGCAGGCGTGGTTGGTTACCATGTGCGGCTGGACGCTGTCAAGTGAGTGGGGTCACTCGCATGTGAATCATTGTGAGTGATGAATTGGCATGGCATACTAGCGGTGTGAGCCCCCCATTTTCCTTGTTTCTCTTTTACGTTCTCTGCCCCTTTCTCTTCCCAGAACATGGCATCCTCTTCTGCACCACGGGAATCTTATTGCGGAGGCTAGTTGGCCACCCTCTGCTGTCAGACGTGACGCACGTGGTGGTGGACGAGGTGCATGAGCACTCTATCCAGGGGGGCATGAGTGGGGGACCAGGGAGACACAGAGGAGAACCATCTTCTATAATCTCGTCATTTCTGTCCCATTCTCCTCGTTTTTTTGTGTGTCTTCTCTGCCCCTTTGCCGTCATCCTCAGAGACTTCCTCCTCGTCATCCTCAGAGACCTGCTGGCCCGCCGCCAACACATGAGACGACAGATGCCACACCTCCCTGCGTTAAAGCTCGTGCTCATGTGAGTGTTTGGTGGATGGGTAGGGTGCTGGTGCGTGCGTGCTGGTGGTCCCTCTTCCCTCCATCCAGGGCGACTTCCTCCTCGTCATCCTCAGAGACCTGCTGGCCCGCCGCCAGCAGATGAGACGACAGATGCCGCACCTCCCCGCCTTCAAACTGGTTCTCATGTGAGTTCCAAGCAGGCAGGCAGGTAGGTCAGCCACTTTGCGTGCTTCTCTGTTCGCCTCCTACTTCTCCAGCTGCCCCATCAGCCAAGCTCCATTGCCAATCTCCCTCTCTTTCCTCCCTCCCTCCATCTCTCCCTCCTTTCTCCCTTCCACTTCTCTTCTATTTTCAGGTCAGCCACTCTGGACGCTTCTCTCTTCGCCACTTACTTCTCTGGCTGCCCGGTCATTCAAGCCCAGGGCCGGACCTTCCCCGTGGAGATGAAATATCTAGAAGACGTGTATGAGAGCACGGGGTACAATCTCTCTTCCGACTCGCCAGCTGCTCTCAGATCGGAATCCAATCAGTCCCGAGCCAAGGTACATACATCGTGTGTGCAAGGCAAGGCAAGCCCAGGGGCGCACCTTCCCCGTGGAAATGAAGTATTTGGAGGACGTATATGAGAGCACGGGGTACAAGCTCTCCTTCTCTGAATCCCATCAGTCCCGAGCCAAGATACAGTCACCGTGTGTGTGTGAGCAGTCTCAAGGGTAGACAGGGTTGGTTCTTTCCTGTTTTGCAAGGCAATGTGAGCCCAGGGCCGCACCTTCCCGGTGGAGATGAAGTATTTGGAGGTCGTGTATGAGAGCACGGGTACAAGCTCTCTTCGGACTCACCAGCTGCTCTCAGATCCGAATCCCATCAGTCCCGAGCCAAGGTACAGTTGTCATGTGCAGTGTGAAGGCTAGATAGGGGTGAGCCTCCCCTGGTAGAGACGAGATGATGTTTAATGCAATCTTTGAGGCGCCTAAAGAAACGACTCAGTTCTCGCGGATTTTGAGGCGCCTAAAAAATCGTCTAGATAGGGTGAGCCTCCCCTGGTAGAGATGAGGTGATGCTCGATGCAATCCGATCTGATCTGATCTGATTGGAGAGGAGCATTCTCATCAGAAGACCCGTTTTGTTCCGATGAAAACCCCTTTGTTGCGCCCTGCTTGTGCCACGCCCTCCCACACCCTCCCACGCCCTCCCACGCACTCCCACGCCCACACCACAGGGCTCCAAGGCAGCAGCGGGAGGCGGTAGCAAGACCAAGCAGAAACTGCTGAAGGCGGGATGGGGCGATGATGCTTCCCTGCAGGCTGAAACAGTGAATCCGGATTACGATGCCTCGCGATACAGCGACTACAGCGACAGCACCCGGAAAAATCTGGTGAGCAGAACCTGTTTCTGAAGGGCTGATAATAAGTATTTCTGGTGCAATTCTCTGTAACCTCTCGTGCTGCCGATTATGAGGCGCTTTAAAAACAGATCTGCTTCTGTAGAGCTGGTTATAGGATTTTTTGGTGCAATTGTAAGGAACCTCCTATGCTTTCTTCCCTGTTCCCTCCTGTGTTTCCTTTTCCCTGCCATGCACTCCATGCTCAACTCACACACCCCACCCCGCGTCCCTCCCCACCACCCGCGCTCTCGACAAAAAACACCAGCGGCGGGTGGACGAGGGAACGATAGACTACGAGCTACTAGAGGACGTGGTTGCTCACATCGACTCCACATGCGGTCCTGACGCCATCCCCATGCCTCATCTCCACTTCGTCCCCATCCCCATGCCTCTTTGTCACCACACCAGCGGCGGGTGGATGAGGGAACGATAGACTACGAGCTACTAGAGGACGTGGTTGCTCACATCGACTCCACATGCGGCCCAGGAGCCATCCTCGTCTTTCTGCCTGTGAGCTCCCTCCCCTGTGAGTGCCTTCCGAGTGTTGCTCCTCTAATCGTTGTTCTGTTCCCTCATAGTGTGGAATGCCGACTCCACATGCGGCCCTGGAGCCATCCTTGGTCACACGTGGTCACACTTGGTCACACTTGGTCACACGTGGTCACTCTTGGTCGCTCTTGGTTGCTCTTGGTTGCTCTTGGTCGCACTTGGTCACACTTGGTCGCACTTGGTCACACGTGGTCACACTTGGTCACACGTGGTCACACTTGGTCACGCTTGGTCACACCTGGTCACGCTTGGTCACACTTGGTCACACTTGGTCACACTTGGTCACACTTGGTCACACTTGGTCACACTTGGTCACACTTGGTCACACTTGGTCACACGTGGTCACACTTGGTCACACTTGGTCACACTTGGTCACACTTGGTCACACTTGGTCACACTTGGTCACACTTGGTCACACTTGGTCACACTTGGTCACACTTGGTCACACTTGGTCACACTTGGTCACACTTGGTCACACTTGGTCACACTTGGTCACACTTGGTCACACTTGGTCACACTTGGTCACACTTGGTCACACTTGGTCACACTTGGTCACACGTGGTCACACTTGGTCACACGTGGTCACACGTGGTCACACGTGGTCCACACGTGGTCACCTTTGAATCCCATCTGTATAAACATCACATTTATCCACCCCTCATCAGGGCATGGGCGAGATCCAGTACCTGTGGGACAGGCTGGCAGCCTTGAGGCAGCTTGGGGGGGACAAGGCAAGGCAAGGTGTGCTGCTGGTTGCTGTCAATTCATCTCTACCTTTCATTCTGTAAAACCCGACACCATCCCTCCCCTTCATCGGGGCATGGGCGAGATCCAGTACCTGTGGGACAGGCTGGCAGCCTCGAGGCAGTTTGTGTGCATGATGAGCCCACGCTTTTGATGTGAGGTGACTTTTGAGTCGACTCAAAAGTCACCGAGGTAGTTTGTGTGCATGATGAGCCCACGCTTTTGATGTGCTTGGGGGCTCAAAAAAAGGCACAAACCCGACACCATCCCTCCCCTTCATCAGGGCATGGGCGAGATCCAGTACCTGTGGGACAGGCTGGCAGCCTCGAGGCAGTTTGGGGCGCCGGGGAAGGTGGAGTGGCTGCTGCCTCTGCACTCGTCCGTCTCGGCTGCTGAGCAGCGGCAAGCGTTTAACAGCCCTCCCAGTGGCGTGCGCAAGGTGAGCTGCGCCGTTCGTGTGAGTCGATTCCTGTCTCACGTTCCAGGGTGGAGTGGCTGCTGCCTCTGCACTCGTCTGTGTCGGCTGCTGAGCAGCGAACAGCATTCAACAGCCCTCCCAGTGGCGTGCGCAAGGTAAGTCTGATGCTTTATGTTCCTTCATCGAAAGTATGCACCCCAGGTGGTACTGGCGACCAACATAGCAGAGACGAGTATCGCCATTGACGATGTGGTGTATGTGGTGGACGTGAGGTTGTGTGCTGCCCATGCCCAACTTGTGTGGTCACTACCCGTCCCACCGTTCCTCCTCCCTCCCTCTTCTCACTTCCCCCACCTCAGGTGGTACTGGCGACCAACATAGCAGAGACGAGTATCACCATTGACGATGTGGTGTATGTGGTGGACGTGGGCAAGCAGAAGGAGACGCAGTTTGACGCCAGGAGGGTGAGTGCGTGCAGTGCATGAGGCACCTCTTGAGGCATGTCTGAGGCAGGTATTGGGCCGTGTGTTGACCTTGTGGACCCAAATGTGGTGTATGTGGTGAACGTGGGCAAGCAGAAGGGGACGCGGTTTGACACCAGGAGGGTGAGTGCATGAAGTATTTGGACTCTCTTGATTCTCCGAAAGCAGTCCTACGCTGTAACTGCACTTTAAGCTGTGCCTGCTTTTTGAGGGTACTGCAGTTTTACGCTGATACTGCACCTCCCGCTCTAAAAGTAGTTTTACGCAGTACCAGCACCCTAAGTTGCACCCGTTTTCTGAATATGTGAGGCAGAGGGCTTTTCAAAGCTCTAGAAGAAAGCACCCTCTTTTTCAACGTGCTACTCTCCCCTCTCCCCTCACTCTCCCTCCTCTCACTGCTCCCACTCGCCTTTCCTCCATCACAGGGTATGACCAGTCTCGTAGAGGCATGGGTGGCCAAGGCCAACGTGAGGCAGAGGGCGGGCAGGGCGGGACGAGTGCAGGCAGGACGGTACCTCGTCCAGTCCCCTTCCCACTTCTCCCACCATTCCCACTCCTCCCACTGTTCATACATCACAGGGTATGACCAGTCTGGTGGAGGCATGGGTGGCCAAGGCGAACGTGAGGCAGAGAGCAGGCAGGGCGGGGCGAGTGCAGGCAGGGCGGTACTTTGCTCTCTTCACCCGCCACCGTTTTGAAACCATTATGCGACCGTTTCAGGTGGGATAAGGCATAGGGCATGGGGCATGGGGGATGGGGCATGGGACATGGGGCACGGGGTAGGGGAATGGTGCAGGGGGCACAAGGCACGGGGAATGGGCCATGGGGCATTGGGCATGGGGCATGGGGCATCGGGCATGGGGCATAGTGGGGGAATAGCCTCGCTGTTTCGTGAATGGGGGGAGGGGAGGGGCTGGTGGGGCAAGGTGGGGGTGGTGGAGCAGAGGAAGGGCGTGCAGGCCTTCTTTCGATAAATGGCTGGTGGGGTACTTCATTCCCTCTTTTCGCCTGCCTTCTAGAACACGATTTGAAAATCAGCATGTGGCTATTCAAAGCTGACCGACCCCTTTTGCCCTTGCTTCTCCCCTCACCTTTCTCATCGCCTGATGCGTGCCCTTCTTTCCTCACCTCCCCGCGTACCTGTCATCTCCCCCAACAGCAACCGGAGATTCAGCGAGTGCCTCTGGTGGAGCTGTGCTTGCAGATCAAGCTGCTGGACCTGGGCACGCCAGCACAGTTCCTCAGTAAGGTGAGAGCACACCTGGATGTCTTCGAGCGTTGCTTAGCTAAGAGTTAGAATCTCTTACAGCTCTGCCTGCAGATGAAGCGCTGGACCCTGACATGTACACCACCCAATCTCGGCTGCGGGGTAGAGAGCCGAACTCCTAATTGCACACCAAAACTAGCAGTCTTTTTCACACACCACCCATGTCTGCTGCGTTGCAGGCAATAGAGCCGCCTAAGGAGGATGCGGTGAGGAGTGCGATGAAGACTCTGAGGGAGGTGGGGGCGGTGAACGAGAGGGAGGAGAGCAGGGAGTTTTGAGGATATTCATTCTTAAATGGCTTATCCCAACCACCCATGTCTGCTGCAGGCCATTGAGCCGCCTAAGGAGGAGGCGGTGAGGAGTGCGATGAAGACCCTGAGAGAGGTGGGGGCGGTGGACGAGAGGGAGGAGCTGACAGCCCTTGGTACACATTTGGCTGCTCTGCCTGTTGACATTCGCATTGGCAAGGTGAGTTGGGTGTGGGGTGACACAGTGACATGACAGTCATGGGGTGTCTCAGCCTGCCTCAGCTACCGCTCCCCACCCCTGTGATGTTTTCCTGTGACCCTGCTGCCACTCCACCCCTCTCCAACCACCCCGTCCCACCGCACCCCATCCCACCACGTTCCACCACGTCCCTCCGCACTCCACCGCACCCCACCCCTGGCAGATGATGATCTACGGGGCAGTCATGGGGTGTCTCAGCACGGCGCTCACCATTGCTGCCTGCCTCAGCTACCGCTCCCCATTCTCCTCCTCCTTCCACGATGTGAGTTCTCTTGAGTATTTCCAAGTGAAAGTGAAGGCCTTTTCACTCCGCTCCACTCTAATCCACACCTCTCCACTCCTCTCCCACCCACTTAACCCCACTGCACGCCCACCTGCTCTGCCATTCTCCTCCTCGCTGCCCTTCTCTCCCTATCTCCTCCTTTCTGCTTTGCTTTTCTGCTTGTGTTTTGTCAGCGCAAAGCAGCCGCCAGAGCAAGGAAGGCAAGCACTCGTGGCGAAAGCTCGAGAGGCCAACCCCGATGCAAGCTCACAGGAAGCAGCAGGAGGCAGGCAGGGAGAGAAGGGGAGCTGGGATGATGGCGATAGTGAGGATGAGGAGGAGGATGAAGGGGGCTGGGAGTCAAAGGTAGAAACAGAGACTGCAGGGGGGAAGGGAGAGGGAGGAGCAGGTGCGAGTGGGGACGACAGGGCATGGAACATGGCACGGGGGCAGCAGTCCGACCATCTCGCGATGGCCTCAGCCTTCAACGGCTGGGTGCTGGCTCTTCAGGTGGGTGTGCTGGCTCTCCATGTGGGTGGTGGTTCCTGAGTCGCCTCAAAGTCGTCTCATTCCACGCGGACTTGGGGTGTCTGAAAAAAGAACATGGCATGGTGGCAGCATTCCGACCATCTTGCTACGGCCTCAGCACTTAACGGCTGGGTGCTGGCTCTACATGTGGGTGGACGGGGTGGGTGGAATCTGCGCGTCACGGCACTTGGTGCTCAAGTTCCCAATCTAATGTTCAAGTCTGAATAGACACCGATTGACAGAGTCGAGCCGGCCAGCTCTGGTTCGCGTCACCTCTGGCTAAGTCAAGGGTGGGATTTGAGTCTTGGGCCGGAAGCGCTTTTCCACTGCCACACGTCGCCTTACAGGGCGCAACCTCTAGGCGTGTTGTTTCTTTAAGGAATTCGGCTGTGCCTTGTGAAGAAAGGGTGACAGACAGCCCAATTCCGTAGGGCAATAGCACCCCCAGTGGCTGTGCCTTGTGGGGCGACGTATAGCAGTGGAAAAAACGCTTCCAGCCCGAGACTCAAATCCCACACCTGACGTAGCCAGAGTTGACGTGAATCAGAGCCGGCCGGCTCAACTCTGTCGGTCAGTGTCCATTAAGTCTTGAACGTCAGATCGAGAACTTGAGCACCGTGTGCCGTGCCGCGCAGATTGTAGGTAGGTTTCCTGGTGGGTCTGCTGGGTTTCTAGGTGGGTGTGCCAGTTCTTCAGGTGGATCTGGTGGTCGTGATAAAAGGCGAATTCTTACATTCCAACCTGATCCGATGGAGTTTTTTACAGGGCATGAGAGAGAATGATGGGGCGTCGGAGTTTTGAGTCGACTCAAAACACATTCTTATGTTCCATTTGATGTTCCGTTTGTAACAGGGCGTGGGAGCGAATGAGAGAGCGTCAGAGAGTGTCAAAGGGCATCACCATGCCAGGAGATTGTTCTGCCACAAGCACTTATCCTTGACTAATCTTCCCACTCCTTCATTCGTCTCTCGCTCCTCTTCTCCACCCCACTCTCTCCCATGTGTGTGTCCAATGGAGCAACAGAGGGGCAGCAGGGCAGCAAGGGAGTTCTGTCAGAAACATCACCTCAGCATTCCTGCTCTGCTCATGCTGCGGTGTGTGCTCTTGGCTCTAGACTGTGCTCTTGCAGCTTGACTGTCCCCTTGAATCCCGCATCCTTCCATAATTTCCGGCTGTTGATCGGCACACAAGCTGCCGTTTCTTCCCGTCCTTCTATAAACTCCTCAAAACTAAGCTCCTCTCTCCCCTTTCGGACCCACTCCCCGCTCGGACGCACTCCCAGGGACATGAGAGTGCAGTTTGCTCGACTGCTCATGGACATTGGCTTTCTACGGCATCCCAGCAAGGCGCCTGCGAGCAGGGTAAGCTGGACAGTTGATTTCACAGGCGAGACATGAGATGAAAGTGCAGTTTCTGTGTGCAGTTTGCTCGCCTTCTCATGGGGATCAGCTTTCAAAGGCATCCCAGCAAGCCAATGCCTTTCACCCATCTCCCCGTGCCTGTCACATTTTCCGTTTTGCCTTTTCTCCCTAACGCCAAGTGCAGGGTTCTGATTGGCTGGATGAGTCCACCCAGCTCTGGAACCGATGCTCTATGAGTGCGCCTGCTGTGAAGGTGAGTGGCATCAATCAAGGGGGCACAACAAGCAATCAATTGTTGAAATGAGGGGAGTAGAGGCAAGTTGGTCTCTTCCGTACCTCCCATTTCTCACTGCTCTTGCGTCTTCCTGTCCTCTCCGCGCCTTCTCTTGCGTCAACCTGTGTGCTGTGCTTGTCATCCATCCCGTTGGGCCTACGATGGCAAGTATGGCAGTAATGGCAATGTGAACTTGATGGAAATGATGGCTTGCACGTGACTAAAATGAAAATCCCATTAGCACTCCCTGATTATCATTCATAGTCACCCTCTCCCCATCCTTTCGCCACCCACCCCTCTTCCTTCTTCATCCCCCCACCCCCCCCCCTTACCCACTCCATCCCAAATCCCCAGGCTGTTCTCTGTGCTGGCCTCTACCCCAACGTTGCAATGATGGCACGTGACTCTATCGAAGCTGCGCACTGTTCGCACGCGTCAGACCTCGCACACGTGGCAGGGGCGTCTGGGCGGCCGCGATGGGTCACTGCTACAGGGGCTGAGGTGGCGATCCACCCGTCTTCGGTCAACGAAGCTGTCTCGGTGTTCCGCGCTCCCTTCCTTGTCTTCCATGAAAAGGTAATGGCATATTACGTAAGTACAGTGAAAATGATCAATTCTTATTCTTGTTATAATTCCAACTATCAGACAAGTTTCGCCATCGTTTTGATTGTGCTTGCAGGTCAAGACATCTCGAGTGTATATCCGCGACTGCACTGTTGTTTCTCCAGCAGCCATTCTTCTGTTCGGCGGACCAATCATGGTCCACCATCAGGTGAAGTGCATTCTCCACACCGCACCCACTGATGTTGACTCAACCCTTATTGTACCAACCAATTGTGACATTTGATAAGGTGATGTTTTCCACTTAAAGATATCACCATCTCATGGTTATGCTGATTTTCTCTCCCTAATTTTCTGTTTGAGCTTGAGCAGAGAGCGCGAGTGTCAGTGGATGGTTGGTTGGACCTCGTTGCTCCGGCTCAGACTGCTGTTCTCTTCAGGGCCATCCGCGGGTCGTTCGACAGTATCCTTCGCCGACATATCCTTCAATCTCAAGTGAGTGTGGCCGTATATCACCACAAGGGCGGGTTATCTTTCAATTTTTTCCCTTCTCTTGTATGAAGCGCTTTGACAATCGACACCGCATGATGGTTTTATATTCAGTGGCGCCATTATGTTTCGTGTTGAACTTGTTGACAGAATGTTGAACAAGACGCAGATGATTCAAGCCAAGTGATATCTACGGTTGTCAAAATTCTTGCAGACGCTGAATACTTGCAAGGGTAGAAAGACTTGATTCGCATGTTGTATTCCACAAACGTTGAACTCAAATATTTGTATGGTTCCGGAAGTGTAGTCTATATGTCAACAATAAGGTATTGCTTACTCGAAACGCATCGGCGTCAAATGTGGGTCGTGTCTCTTGCAGCACCCAATTTTGACAGCTCTCCCTACTTCTTGGTCGTCACGGATTCACAAGCACAACTTTCGGTTTCCGGCACTGAATCTCGGTTTCGCCGCTGAATGTCCTACCTGGTCGCCGTTCCCGCATTACAATGGAGTATGAAAGCGATGGTAATCCTTGTCTATGCGGGTCCCAGTTTAACAATTCATCGCTGCAATGTGGCCCTTGTCAGTGACGAAACGACCGCTCTTCGTCCTATTCCTGACCGTCCTTTTGCTTGGCTATACGACCAGTAGCGCTGCAATTCAGAAGTGTCACCCCCTCTCGCTCCGTCAGTTGAATGCCGATACAAATTGGAGGCAAAAAATATTACGCATTGCACTCTTGAAGACTGGAGTTGAGACGAGTCCCAATGGCAACAGGAGCGTGAGTGTCGGAGATGAAAAACATGGAGTTGCGTTTCTACTCGTCGATCCTAACATGAGCTCCATGACTATGTTCATCTCCGACCTGCTTTCTGAAGTGTAAGTGGTTAGCGCAATATATTCTACGAGATGCCATGCAATCTTGATTTCTCATCATCTGCTTTTTTTTTACCTCCAGCGTTCCAGGTCGCGCTGTTATTCAGGGTGTCGAAGGCGAATCGATTGCATCTTTCCTTATAAACAACACTTTCGTGGCGTCAAATCCAACGGGCCTTGCATTTGCTGGAGTCGTTCCTCTAAGCATTGCGAGCATTGAAGCTCTTCAAGCCAATCCGACAAGTAAACACATTGCCTGTTTGTGCAATTCAGTTCCACAGGGAGGACCACTAACATTCGCCGATTCCGCAATTGCAGGATTTATTGTTCTTCTGGAGACAGGTCAAGAGGATGACTTCGCAGGTGGAATCATGCTACCTTCACAAGCTGCACAGCTTCTACCATCCATACTACTCCCAGACGCATTGCTCTTGGCGGACCCAAGCCTCTACTCGTCCCTTGCTATATCTTTCAACTTCTATGCACGAGGGGAGGTGAACGTAACAGTGGGCCACGACCCAGAAGATCCCAGGCAGAGACCTGTGTTGTCAAACATCACATCATTTGACTTGGCCTCCTCATTCCGGGCCATTACAAGTGCATTACCAGTGGCATTTCAAGCTATGGTTGCTGGTGATGAAGGCAGTGATGCTGAGATTTCTACCACACTGACAAGTTTCCTCACTTCCGTGATTCCAGCCCTACCTGCATTGACTAAAGCACTACCCAGTGTTAAGAATGGACAATTTCTACAGGCTGGATCAGCTGCTCTGATGGCCACCATGATTGCTTACAGTGGCTTTCTGCCTCCCTTGAACAGCCCACGCATTCTTTCCGCTCTATCAGCTTCTTTAGAGTCTGCATTACTAGTAAACCGCAACCAATCATGAGCATGGATGTGCAATAGTCCGCTCTGTTATTCTAAAGTGGAAAATTGTGGATCTTTCAGACAATACATCAAGAAAGCAATATACTAATTCCTGGCATTAACAGTTTGACCATACTGATTCCATGGAAAGGCATCTAGCTCCAGTTGAAGAACTCTGGTCCAGCAGAAGAGAGCAACTCCTTGCCAGCATCAATGCCCATCTCCATCATTTCATTGTAGCTGTAAGATCCCGACCTCGACGTCTCAAGGACTAAATGGGCAAAAATCGGGAAGGACAGAAGGCACAAACATTTGTTTAGTGCAACCGTCCTTAACGAATGCCCACCAAAGGATGATGTATGAGTGGGGGAGGTGCAGTGACAGGTCATAAGGCAATGAATGAATTGAGTGGCTGGAATGCAAAGAATGCAAAGAGTGTGCAGTGTGTGAGAGCAAGAGAGACATACTGGAGGTGGGGAGGGAGAAGTTAAAAACCAGGGATAAATTGAAGCAGTCGAACGAGGCAAGAGTAAGAAGTGCTCACTTCTCTTGCCGTCGGGCGAGGCGACAAGACCCCGGAAGGAGCAGCCGCCGTTGGCATCGCGCTGCGCCAGACCAGCAATGGGCGTGCGGCATGAGCCATCCAGCGTGGTAAGGAAGGCACGCTCACAGCACACAGCCAAGCGCGTGTCCTCGTGGTTCAGGGTAGCCAGGTATTCCTCCTGCCAGAAAGGAGATTTACAACATTCCTGTGTTAACCTATGGCCAGGAAACGTCTAGCCACCAACTAATGTACTCCGTTCTCTACTCCATTTTCTCCGTCAAGCTAGCCTTAGAATCATTTGTTCATTTCCTACGCCAGGCGCTACCCCATCCAACATAGACAGAATCCCCCATGCTTAGCGGATCAATGCGAGGACATACCATTTTGGTGTCGCCAGTACGGCAGGCGATGCCAATGGCGCCCTGAGCGATGGCTGGAAGCATGTCTTCTGTCGAAAGGATAGCGGTCACGTGCTCGGTCATGTTCAACCTCTTCAGACCAGCCAGGGCCAGCAGAGTAGCTTGCACAGCCCCTTCGTTCAGCTTCCGCAGACGGGTTTGCACGTTACCGCGGAAATTCACCACCTGCAGGGAGATACATAGAAAACGGATTCACGAGCTCATTTTCTCTATTACTTGACCTGTTACTCTAAAAGGCTGGACTACAATCACACCATGCAGATTGCACTATATCTATACGTGGAGGAGAATCAAATCAGCAGAAGCTCCGTACCTTCATGCTGGGGTAGCGGTGGAGGATTTGCGACTGCCGGCGGAGGGATGCACTGCCAATGACGCTGCCAGCAGGAAGCTCAGCCAGGGACTTGGCGGTGAGCGAGATGAACGCATCTCGCACATCCTCACGAGGAAGATTGCAAGGGAGGATAGTCCCCTCCGGAAGGTATGTTGGCACATCCTTCATGGAGTGCACGGCAATGTCGACGGCTCCTCCCAGAAGAGCATCATCAACCTCCTTGGTGAACAGACCCTTGCCACCAATGTCGGCGAGAGGCTGGTTCAGGATCTTATCGCCGGTGGTCTTGATGATCACGATTTCCACAGCACCCTCCTCGGCCAGCTCGGGGTAAGCAGCCTTGAGCTTGTCACGGGTCTGGTAGGCCTGTGCAAGGGCCAGAGGACTGGCAAGGGAGAAGGCAAAATAACATACTCAGCCCTTGGGGCGAAAACTGCTCACTGCATTCTAACGAAGTTAATGCAAATGGTTATGATCGAGAGAAAGGCATCGAGGGGAGAGGCGGGTAGATACGCCATTCAACAAGTCTGTATGAAGGTCGGTTAATAGAGTGTACAAATCGCTGGCATTCACTAATTCACACCTGCCACGAGTTCCAATCCTGACGATGGCTGTCTTCACATCTGTCGAAGCGACGGCCTTGACGACGCTACACTGTTGAGCCTTCTTAGGGGCGACAGCTGCGACATTTTGCGACGTCGTGGTCTTCCTCAAGCCCTCGAATTCGGCGGATCGCACAGAGCCCAGGAACGTGGCCTGAGTCTTGACCAATGAGGTGGCCATAGCTTCTAATTTCAGAATGAATTACAAGTATCGGAGTTTCTAATGGCCACCGATGCTGGCGATCCTTGCAGAACTAGAGCTTCAAAGCTCTAGAGCTGAGATGAAATTGCTCTGAAATGGTAGTCAAGGAGCAAGGAGCAACTGATAAACTCCAGCACGAAAAAGAGCACAAATGTTCTTAGCGGGTATGGAGCGCTTACTAGGGTGTGTGGGATGGCAATCCGTCTCAGAGAATTGCGTGAATTGCGTGGCGCTGTGGTTGGGTGAGGTGGGGGTCAGAGCGCGCGTTGGGGGACAACGAGGTGTCCAGCTGGCGGCTGCTGGTTGCCCGAGGAGTTTCAAGGCTTCCACGCTATCCGGGGCCCTATCCGCTGACCAGTTGCGTTGCTGAAGGATGTGCGAGATGGGAATGCCGCTAAAGAGAATCCTCTCAATAACAGCTTTTCCCATTTGGTTTCATGTAGTTCTTCCACCTAAACCAATATGTATCTTAATTCGCATATACACACACCCCGCGATACAGTGTATGCTTTTCCGGTTTTACCCTAGGGATTGACGCCTGGAGCTGTGTTGCTGTGATTGCCACGTCGGACAACCCACCGCACCACCATCGTGCCTTTTTCGTTGCAATGCACTCGCGAAGTTGGATTTTCCCCAGCACACTTTCTCCCTAAATGAGTGTTTGAGCATCAATACCCTAAGCGAATTAGAGTTACCACATGCTGCGATGTATGCAGCTCGTCTTCGTCACAGGACGTCATAGAGCCAAACATCACTCGTCTATCAGATCCTTCGTACCGTGTTTTTTAGGAAGAACAGACGCTTGTGGTGCCTAACAGCCATCGTAGCCATGGCGTCTTGCACATCGCTACTCGCCGGCACCGGCGTTTCCTCGCTTGCGTTGATCCAGGATGCCAAATCCACCTTTCAACGCAACACCGTGGCTCTCACAACACGGCCGTCTGGTTTCCGTCAGAAGGCGACGGCGTCCAGGCTGCAAATCGTCGCCATGGCTGGCAATGCTGGGGGTGTTGAGCCGGACCTGAGCGAGGAGTCACGGGCGGCATGGCTAACTGCTGGCGAGGAGAGTCAGCAGGTGCGCTCCTTAGTATCTTGGGAGTAGTTTACTGCGAAGCAGGAATTAGGGTTACCTATGCCTGGTCGAACGGCAGCCGAACAAAGTCATGACGTTAGATGCAGCCTACAACAGTATCTACAAGTAGCTTGACGAAGTTTCTTTCGGGAGTGTAAAATTAGTATCCATGTTCCAGTTCATGGTTCTGATCATGCGGAGCTGCTTGTTAGTGCGGAACTGCAGCTTTTAAAGCCGACTTTTCGGGCTTATTCCAACCAACCTTCCTAAACGTTTTTTCTCAGTACAGCGCCGATCTGAAACCGAAACCGCATTTACACCCCCTTTTTCTAATGCCATTTGGTCGCGTCAACTGCTGACTATCGTTTCTTTATCCGACGTGCAGGATAACAGCTTCAAGTACGGCAAGGTGGATGGTGCTCATTCTTACCACGAGGGCGATGATGGTACGTTGATGCTAACAAGTGCACAGTCAAAGCCGCACCACGCAGTGCTGTGGACAGCAAAGGTCACCGTTTTTTGAATGCAGAACTCAGCACCTTTTTCTGCCTACAGTGGCATTTCTACAATTTTCTCTGGTTCTGGTTAAGACGTTCTCATCTTCCTTGCGTTTTCTCTGATTTCTCTCTTGGGTACCCCCTTCGCTGATTAGCAACCCTCTCCAATGTTCGGTTCCCTTTGTTTCCTCGTTCTACTTTTTACGTTACAACAAAACGCCACCCCGTCGTTTGTCTCTATCCGATGATTTTTCTATGCGCTCGATATCTTTCAGGCGAGTTCTGGAGTAACGTCGACGCCTCCCTCAAGGAGGCCGGTGGCCCTGTTTCAGTTGAACAAAGTGCGTCGGAAACGGGGGGAAGGGAGAGGGAAGGGAGGGTTGGATTGTGTAGGGGAGGGGAGAGTGGGGGGGAGGGGAGAGAGAGGGGGGGAAGAGTGGGGGGGAGGGGAGAGAGAGGGGGGGAAGAGTGGGGGGGAGGGGAGAGAGAGGGGGGGAAGAGTGGGGGGGAGGGGAGAGAGGGGGGAGGGAGGGGGTGGGGGGTAGGGAAGGGGTACAATGGATGGAGATGGAGTTGAGGGCTTGGGATGGCGTATGACTTCTGATATTATGGCAAGGATGTGATCAGAATGAGATGAAGCTGTTCATGCAATGGCACAGTGCTTTGGACTCTGATCGTTGTACTTCGTGTTTCCTTCAGGCTTCTAATTCTTCTGAGATTTGTATGACTTGCAGAGGGACTTGCATGGGCGTTTCTTCCAGCATTCTTCGCTGGTATTGCATTTGGCCTCCCGGTAAGTTTTTCCATTTTCCTGTGCACTTAAATTCCACTTCTGTCCGGTTTCACCTACTTTCTTATTCCATTTTCATCACTCCATTTCTTCCTTACTGCGCAGTCTGAATATTATATTGGCTTCACAGTTCTCTTCGTCTTTGCGTACTGTGGGATTGAGATGGGTAAGCCGTCAAAGCCTACACATTTCGAGCCTGACATGTACAAGATTAAGTGAGCTACGGTGCGCTGTTTGAATGCTGAAACTCATTAGTACCATTGAATTGTATGTAGTATTACCATTTAGACTAGGTTGAGACAGAACTAAATTATCTAGTCGCACAGCGAGCTTCACTCTAAAATTAGAAAGAACATATTAGCACTCTATTGTGTAGGGATGCGAACATGGATAAGTTCTGTCACCAGTGGATGAACGATAGACATAGTGTAGCGCTCAGTGGTGCGGATGAAACTTCTCCACAATTCCAACAGTCCCAACAACCACACGTCGTGCTTGCGGCTCGCCCGGCCTCATAGTTGCGTTCCGACCGACAGAGGTGGTCTACCTCTGCTTGAAACTAGCCAATCAGGTATCACTCGTTTGTCTCGGTCGCGTTTTTTCTTTGTTACGTTCAGCGAAATTAACTCCTTCAACTGATGAACTTGAAATTTAGCACCGGTTTGTGCAATGCTGGTATGCATTTTCCACCCGTGTTGCTCCACTCAGTTTGTGTAGAAGAGCAGTCACATGGTTTTTTTGCTAGGCGTTTCCCGACCTAGACCTAGGCTAGTTGTAGGCTGCCGAATTCGATTTCTTCTGTAGGCTAGCTGTCTGCTGGTCACACCGCACTTGCCATGGTCACAGGTTTTCCACGCCAGGTCGACCTGAAACAATTGTTTTTTATGGAGTAAATTCAAAGTGAATATATTTTGGACAGTTTGGCAATGATTTCGCGTTATACATTTTGTTGGGTTCCAAATCCTTAGGAACTTGAAAAGTTGGTCCAAGACTGTCAAGCACTCTATACAGACCCGAAACCCTGCTGACAAATGTATACCGGAGTTTTAGGACGTGGCCCAGACCGCCTCTGATCGGCGCTGATCTGATCGGGGCGGATCTGATCGGGTTGCTTGTGATTGCATTGCTCGCGCCGCCCGATCAGCACTGATATTACTAGAAATTTTAGAGCGCCTGCCTCGCAAGCGTTTCAGCATTTCCTAACCCTTTCGTCCCAATTTTGGCGAGAACGAAGCGTAGCGAATTTTATGTTTCCATGTCATATCGCAAATTCCACATTAGAAGATGCATGTGCGACGGCCTGACGAGCTTAACTAGACACTGTAACTTATTCGCGGGCTTCGCCAAGATCCCCAATCCCATGCAATCAAGTGATCGTGACTGATTGTGTGTGATTGTGATTGATTGGGGTGTTTGAGGCGGTTGATCGAATAGGGGCGATCAGTTAGTTGATCGCGATCAATTGATTGCCTGAAATTGGCCTCGGGGCTTCCTGGAATTGATTAATCGCCTCTGATCGGGGCGATCAGAGGAGGTCTGGGCCACGTCCTTAACGGCGTCAAACGGCAAAAACCCAGTTTTTTTTCCAGGCCACAATGGCAGTGCACCACCAACATCCAGCCAGCTTGTCCCCTCGTCGGTTTATCATGACCAAGTTGGAAAGACCTCCGCGTAAGCCACGAACCAATCAAATAGCGCAGGTGCACAACATGCAGTTGGGCAGGAGAAATGGAGGGCCTGAGTGGGCAAATCCATACTCGAAGCGCGTTAGAAAAACGCGTCGACCAACCATGCGGAAAGCCGGAAACAGCTGGAAAGAGAGACTTTTCTAATTGGCTTGCTTTCCCCGCAACCCACGAAACAAGCTCCCCCTTCTCCCACTCAATTCCCCCCCATTCCCCTTATTCCCCGAATCCCTCACCAGCTGTGCGCAACCCCTCCCTCCGGCCGGGCCCCTCTCACCTTCCTCTCCCGCGCCTCCGTGTTTGTCGGACTCCCTTCCCCGTCACTCCACCCCACGGTTCCTCGTGCTCGACTCTTGCGTGTCGCAAAAATCACTCCAAATACTCGCGTCTCCTCACTCGTAACCCAGACATGCCAAGTTTCTTCAGACCAGAGCAGGCAGCGCTGCCCTCTGACTTACAATCGTTCCTCTTCCTCATTATCAGTGCACGGCTTAGTTGATAAGTTGTCATCTCCGTGCTGTAACCGTACGTCGTCGATCGTTGTCCAGGACCTTCACACCCCGACCACATTCTCTTCATTCTCGTCGTTCAGCAATCTCCCATCCACTCAGCTTCCCAACTACCCTCCACCGTCACAATGACTGCATCGTACTGCACGTGTTCCGGGTGCTCTTACAATGCGAACGCGCCTGGAGAGCTTCCGACGCAGATTCTCGAGGTGAGTTTTCCCTCGATCCACCTTCGATGCCTATCTTTCGCCCCGTGAAACACACTCTTCCAATCCACTCTCACTTCTCGTCCAACAGAAGGTCCTTGCTTTTCCGACGCATCCTCATTTTCCGCCTTTCTCTTCCGCAGGCCAATGGCTTCCCCTCGGAGCTCCTCCCCGCGCACGAGGTCGCGCATTGCGACGGCACGATCACAGGGCCTTTCTCGATCAACCTCAAGCGTCCGATCGACGCCGTGATTGACGGCTATAACGTGCACTACGATCAGCACATAAGCGGAGTGGTCGAGCACGGTTGGATTCGGCAAGTCACGGGAATTAAAGTCTTCTATATGATGGCGTGGGTCCCGGTAGATACCGCACAGGTCGGCGCGTCTTGCGGCAATCGGCTATACTTTTACGTCGGACGCCTCGTTTACAAAAGCGTGCTGCTCTCCGCGTTTCCCGGGCTGTGGGAAGGCAATGGCGCGAAGAGCGAGAAGCAGGCTGAGAAGCAGCAGAAGCAGAAGCAGCTTATGCAGGTCGATATTTCGTCAGACGAAGAGGACGAGGGAGAGGAGGAAGAGCGATGGGAAGACGCGCCGACGGACGGAAGCGAGCAGGAAGGTTCGGATATGAGCGATCAGGAAGCCGGGGAGCCGGAATTAGCGGCGGTTTTAGCGCTAGCAAAAGAGGCAGCGGCGGGAGCTTCTACGAGAAAAAGCTTCTTCCGGTTCAGAGCATGAAAACATGACAGATCGCCGGTACTAGTCGTCGCGTCGAACCTTTCGTTGAGAGTAAAACATGTGTAAGATACTTATAGAAATCCCCAAGGCAGCTGCGACGTGCAGCTGATTCTGCTGCTACGTCAGCAGGCTCAGGAAGGGAAGCAGCAGCATGGCCGTTCCTTCTCATCGACATGCACTAGTAGCCGTTCGCTAACTTGAGTAACCACACACTGCTTGGGGGGGTCCTTTTTTCGTCCTCTTTTCTGCGAAGCCCGTACTCGCAGCTCATTCTTCGCCTCCTCGTGACTTCCGCTGAGCCCATCACCCGTCGCGTTTCACCCCGTCCTCTGCTCTACTCGGCTCTGCGCTGCTCCACGCTGCCGATCCTTTTGTGTGAAGCTCGTGGCAGTTCTTCGATATACCAAGACGCTCATGCAGAGATTGGAGGATGTCGATGGTTGGATTGGGTTAGTGATGGAGATATCAAAAGGAGACGAAGGCATGATCTGCGGGGTGACGGCACTCACGAGTCATGGGCACTAAGCCTTTCCACTTACACACTGCCTCGGTTCTGATGAGGCACGTTTTGTTACAATGGTTGGTTACCAGTAACTGTTGCTGTGCGTTACTATCCACCTTGTGTGCTTGTGGGGCTAGATGCCCATGCCTCGTCAGTGCCAGCTTCATATATTTGTTCTTTCTGTGCACGCAGTTCAAATTCAGCCCTTCCTTTTTCTGGGTTCCCGTCCTAAGCAAGAATTCCCATTGTCAACGTAGAAAACGGCTAGCCTCTGTTGACTGAGCGCTAGGGTACCAATTCTGAGATGAGAGTCTGAGACCTACCGTACCTGCTGTCAAACAATCAAGGTTGATGGAGAATTTACTGAGTTTCAATGGAGGACCTGCCACCCACGACGGTACTTGAATTACATCTCGTTTTTTTACCATCAGCAGCACACTACTAGCCCCTCCGGTGGCCATATCCGGTGATGGAATCGCCTTGGGTGAAGACATAGTTTCAGGGATAGTGACTTCAGCAAAGCAGCACTGACCCACTGTCCATTCCATTTGCGAATACATATGAAATAATGCTGACATTTATGTTCGGAACAGGCCCAATCTTACAAATTTCAGGTGTCAATGGGGACGACCACAAGGGATATACCGTATGAAATAACATTCACCAACTATCCATATGCAAGACACATGACGCAGTCATGAACCATGAATATGCTGATCAAAGTATATATGCGGATTGTTGTAGCAAGTTCTATATTTTTTATCCGTGGCATGTGTTGGAAACCAGGCCCTCAGATTGCAGGAATTTTACCCTGATTTGGGCTTTGAACACTGATTTTCAGGGTGTTTTGTGGACCCAGCGCTGATGAGAAAGTTTTTTTTTTAATGCCTATCCTGATTTTCAAGCGTGTTTTTTCGTACCAGGTCTGATTTTCCAGCGTGTTTTTGCTTGGGGACCCTGAATCGATTCATACAGTAAAGGGTACAGGAGTAGTTGCGAAAATGCCTAGATTCAGTTGATCCGGAAAAAAAAAATTCTCGCCATTCCGCCGTCACCGTCATTAACGGGAAATGGCATCTTTACTGTATCCACACACGTACCAGTCTTGATGTGTTGTCGCCATCATCTCTCAGGCTTGCATGTGATTGGGCAGTTTCAGGTAATTACACACCGTGCCCAATCACATGACCAGTGCTGGCAAGATTCCACTGCATCACGGTCGAAACTCGTGACGCTGTGGAATCGTGCTGGAAACGGGGCACATACATCCCATTTCGTGGATGGCCCATAGGGGACCATCCACGCCTGCATGGAGGCTTTTGTTTGAGGGTGTCAACCAATCACCAACGAGGTGTGGTGACCCTCCCGTCCCCATCCCTTTCACCCCATTCTTGAGCGCCGTGTGAGATTAGGTGAGCTTCGATCTCCCTGCTGTTTCTCGGCTGACTCTCCACTCCTCCCTCCATCTCTCGTCCATACTCCCGCCATGGCTGGACCCGTTGATGGTGCTCCTGCCGATGACGATGCTGACGACATAGAGGTCGAGATAGCACGCACGGGCCTAGACCTGTTGCTGTATTCCCTCTCTAAACCAACCATCCCACCTTGTAGCAAGAATCCGCCCGTCACTTCAGTTACGGCTGTTCCCACCGTCACTTCCGCCCCACCTGACTCAATCGTCCCCCCCGGCTAGTAACACCGCCACGCCAACCAATGTCACAGACCCAGTACCCACTACGGTACCCGCAACCGAGCCGTCAACACCAGCAGCACCGTCCCCGGCTTCTCCTATGGATACATCTCCATTACTTCCACCAGGTTTTGAGATGACGTCCCCGTCATCTCGGCCCGTTCCACCTGCATCGCAACCAGCTGCTCCCGAAGCGGCGTCCCCTGCAGGTCGGCCCGTTCCACCTGCATCTCACCCTCACGCAGCTGCATCGGCGTCCCCGGCTGCTCGGCTTGTCCAGACGAAGTTGAACTTCCTTCGCCCCTCATCTGCGCCACCGACAGCACCCACCAACGTGCCCACTCCGCCCGTACTCGAAGCTGCAGCCTCGAACCAGCCGTCAGTTCCTCCCGAGGAGCAGTATGCCATTGCTCTTGAAAGGTTCAAAACGCGCTGGCAAGGTCAATTTGCCTGGTTGCAGCTTGTCAAAACTTCTACTGGTCACCCTGCCTTCAAGTGTTCTTTGTGTACAGAACATTCAGGATTGACTGGCAAGACCGGCAAGTGCACCGAAGGGGCAGTCGACGTTCAAAAGCAGTCATTCACGTGTCACGCAGCCACGAACAAGCACAAGCTCGCGAAACAACGGCAGGATCAGCTCGTTGGCGCGACGAGGCAGCCGCGGATTGACGAGCATCCACTGGCGCACGACAGCGAGAAGTTCCGAGTGGTGAATCTGATGGATGCCCTACTCTTTGTCAGCAGGCAAGATGCACCAATGGATCTGTGGGTGGGATTGGTCCGTTACATGGCTGAGAAGGGAGTCCCGGGATTCCCAAAGAAGGGATACGGGACGTACTACACAACGTAAGTCCGTTTCCTTTTTTGGATTGCACCGTATTATCTTGTGATGGCCCGGGCTAACCCACATGATCTTGTTTGCCTGTCAGGTATGGATTCGGGGAGCTGACTCAGTCTATGGCAACGTGGCTGCAGACTACACAGCTCGAGGAGATCCTGGCAAGTCCCTACATCGGCATCTCATGCGATGAGAGCACCGATCGATGCAGAGGCAAACACCTCATCTTGTTTGTCACGTTCATTCGCAACTCACGCCTCGCCTGCGAGTTCATGGCTCTGCTGACGGTCGACAAGGCGGATGCGGCTTCGCTGTTGCAGTTGTTGCTGTCCCACCTGCAGGCGTGCGGTGTTGACCTGAGACGCATCGTGGGCATCAGCACGGACGGGGCGTCCGTGATGATGGGAGCACGGTCGGGGTTGGTTGCAAGGCTTCGGCTACGCATACCGCACCTCGTCTCTTGTCATTGTATTGCACACCGGTAAGTTAATATCCTGCTCCAGGGTTTTGACTGATCTGTTCGGTGATATTGTTCTAATACACTGTCCCTGTGTGTTTGCCGCAGGGAAGCTCTTGCCGCTAAGGATGCTGCCGAGAGCTTGCCTGTCTTCAACACGATCGACAACACGGTCCGTGCCATCGCCGAGCATCTGGGCCGGTCGGGTCCATGGCATCAGCGCTTCAAGGACCTCCAAGAGGTTTTTACCGAGACCTTTCTGGAGCTGCAAGGGATTCACACCGTACGGTGGCTATCACGTGGTGATGCCATCGCCAGGTTTGTGGCGGTCCTGCCGGCAGTCATCACGATGCTGAAGGAGTGGAATGACAAGCTGTACAAGGTGGTGACGTCGTTCCGGTTCCACTTTCTCCTGTTCTTCCTTGCCGACGTGCTTGACCAGATGAACGTCCTGAGTAGGACGTTCCAGCGACGAGAGGTGCGTCCACGTAGGTTAGACTTGCATGGCCATTGTCTATGCGTTCTGTCTGTATTTTAACTGGTGTTTCTTATAAAATATGGCGCCTAATTTCTGCCACCTTGCTTCCATTCCTTCCCCCACAGCTTGATCTCTCAGCTGTGCACACGCAGATCCGCCGTACAACTGGACATCTGGAGGCCCGTTACGTCGACTGCGGGGACGAGTTTGGCGGAGGGCTCAGTCCAAGGCTCTCGCCATGGCTTGAGAAGCACGGCCCCGAAGACAAGCGGGAAGTCTGCATCGAGGGCAGCGACTCGGACGGGCAGGCATGCACCTTCACGTTCATACTGCATGAGGATAAACTTGACGACTACCCCGGACCTGGGCACCAAGACGCATGCATCGACATCTGCACCGAGTTCGCTGAGCTCATCGTGGCCAACCTCCTGGATCGGTTGGGCGACCTCGACAAGCTCTCGGGCGTGGGCTTGTTCACCCCCGACAATTGGCCGCACGGCAGGCACGAGCGCCAAGCGAAGTGTCAGGAGCATCTTGAGGCGCTGATCACTCTCTTCCGGGCGGAAGAGTGCGAGGAGATCATACCTGGTGAGCCCGATGCCTTGTGTGTGCATGCTGTGCCTCTCCATCCTTGTGCCATGTCGGATTTATTATCAACCACTATGTTTCCATATCCATGCTTGGTTTTCTAACTGCAGGTGTCGACAAGAAGAAAGCAGTCAAGGAAGTGCGACTGCTAATCCCCGTCCTTTCACGTGCACCGAAGGGTGAGCGAGGATTCCACACTGGTCTTACCGCCATGCTCAAGACCGACGACTGGCAGCAGCACTACCCGAACCTGGTGCGGCTGTGGGTGGCGGTGTCGGTCCTGCCGTTGAGCACAGTCGAATGCGAGCGCGGCTTCTCGCGGCAGAACGTCATTAAGTCCTGGCAGCGAGGCAGCCTCAAAGATGCTAGGCTTAGTGACTTGATGTGCATGTCCCTGCTCCGTTACAAGCCCAACTGGGACGAAATAGTCGAGATCTGGCGTAACTACAAGAAGCGGAAGCCGCTCAACACCTGCAACATCTCCAGGCAGGAGGCAGATAGGAGGCGTCGGGGGAAGGAGGAGGCAGAGGCAGGAGACCAGGCCAACCCTGTAGACCTAGATGAAGAGGAGGATGCAGCAGGTGCAGCTGACGGTGGTGATGATGAGGATGCGATGTGGTATTAGTAGTAGTGGTTGTATGCGATTGTTAGTTAAGTGGTATTCGCTTGCTGAGCTATAATGAATCAATCAGCGTGGCAATTGTTGTCGACTCTGATCTGATTAGAACGTTTTTTCCCGGAGAGCACCCTGATTTTTCAGGGTGTTTTCACATGGCGACACTGACAGAAAGTTTTTTTTTTTGTACTAACACTGACCAGAAAGTGTTGACAAAAACCAATCTGAGGCCCTGTTGCAAACCCTAATATCGAGTTGACAAGAACCAAGCACAGTGTAAACATCAAAGCTGGAATATTTTCTTGAAGTTTGTTGGATTTCATGTGATTGTGGTCGTTAACTCTGTTCAGATCGTAACCACACCCATTTCCTGTCTTCCAAGGACCAAAACAAAAAGAGTTTTCATAGTGTGAAGGGAAATCTCGATCCTTCGTATCCAATAAATGGGGATGTGATTCTATAGTTTGTCTCATGTGCTGTTACTGAATTCACGGCTTCACGTCAAAATTTGTGTAGCTCAGAATTGTGCATTTAATTATGGTGTGGCCGTGGAAGTTTGATGGTTGATGTAGCAATAGCTCCCTCTTTTTTTTTTTTTTTTTTTTTTTTTTTTTGAAACTGCAGATGCGACTGATGTTGCTGGTTGATATTGTACATAGATACATCTTTTTCAGTTTTAAATGAAAGAAAAACGGAAAACGCAGCCTCAAGAACATCCCAGTAGAACAGCACATAAGGAACCCCAAAAGACACCCCAACGAGATACCCCCAATGAGACACCCCAACGAGACACCCCAACGAGACACCCCAACAATACGCCCCATCTAACCAAACCCCCCACCCCCCTCACCTAAACCCACCCTCTAAACCCGCATGTCCACCAAATAGGGCGCATCCGCCCACGGAGCATCCCATCCCATCTCCTCCTCAAAATCCTCCCGCTCCACCGAAACAGCCTCTGGGCCTCTCATCATCGACGCCGCGCGCAACAAGATCACACGCGCCTGAGCCCGCTGCAAAGCCACACCTATGGCCGCTTTAAGTGATCCAAGCAAGTAAGCCGAGAAACCTTTCCCCGTAGCTCTCGCCGCCCCTTTCGTCTTCGCTACCTCAATCTGCGCGTCGCCCTGTTTCTTAAGCCACCGCCCAAAACTCCCCCCCAGGCAACCCCATGTCTCAGCAATGAGAGGTGTAAACTGCACTCCCCTATGTCGCTGCAGAAGCAATTTGTAGTCCGCCGCCTTCCGCTTTTCCCTCTCTCTAGCGGCAAAACCCACCTTGCGACCAATCTGTCCATGGTGCTGCGCGGACAACGAGATAGGGTCCACCACACTAACCTCCAGCGCATGCTCCTCCCCCTCCCTCAGTCTCCGCACCGCCACATCCACCCTCTTCCCTGGCAGCAACGTGTCGTCTTCCATGGTCACGACCCCACCCGCCCCTTTAGCTATCTTCGCCACCACAAACTTAACCGCGTCGCGAACACGAGAAGGTGCGTACTGGTACTTGCAGTGAAGGGCATGATGCGGGTCAGAGGGATCAGCAAACTCAAACCCACACGCGCACTTGCCGGCGACTATCAGCTGCTGTATGGGGAGGCCTAGGCGCATGGACGCACAGATGCTCCACTCGGCTGCGGTGAAGGTAGCCTCTTCGTGCGAAGGGACGGCGGAGACCCACGCCCCTGCCCCCGGGCCCTGAAGGGATGTCAAACGGGCCAGGGTGGCGTCGTCGTGGGCCATACCCCGAAGAGTCTGCAGACTCTCAACTGCTAGGCGACGGTGTTGTGTGGGGAAAAGCAGCACAGGGGGGTAAGCGGTGCATAAGGCTAGGGGTGGCATCTCCTGCCTGACCGACTGTGGCAGCAGCTCCACTGCTCTCGCAAACCAAGGATCCAGCAAGGTCGTAGCCTCGGGCGTGCGGAAAAACTCCTCAAACATCCGCTCCTCCCCTGCCACCCCCATCCGAGCCACATCGCTCACTTCCTGGCACCAACCACATGCGTACGACAGAGGGCTAAGGTCAGCTGCAGATCGAATGCCAAACCCTCCAAGTCTGGCTGGAAGCTGCAGCTGTAGACGGGCCATCTGCGACCTTGCCGAATCATGATCCCAGGTGCTATCTGGAAACAGCTGCTCAAAACAATCCTCAAGCTTCGTGTCCCAGTCGCGGAAAGCCTCCACAACCTCAGGCCGTGGAGGCATCGTCCTTGTGAGGTAAATCGGGCGCGCTGACACTGCGATCGCCAGCAGATGGGACGCAATCTGTGGGTGGTCGAGCAAAGGAAGCCAAGGGACAGGTGCATGCAGCTGCATCAGCCGGCCTCGCAAGCTGGCCACCTCCCACTCCTCCTCCCCAATAGGAACCCCCACTACGGTGAGCCCCGTCCATGTTTGCTGCATGCCGGGCGGGACGGTCTCGTTCCTCTCCTCTCCCTCCTGGTCCACCCCTCGCTCCCAAAGCTTGCACTTATGCGGCTGCACCTCCAGACCAAGCCCGCCCAGTCGTTCCCGCAAGACCTCATAAGCTGCTAGCACCCGCTCCCTAGGCCCCAAGATGTACGTATCATCGGCGTAGCTGAGAAAGAGTAGGTCGGCGAATTCTTGTTTGGTGGGCTCCATAACCAGCTGCTGTGTGAACGCGAACAGAAACGGCCCCAATGGGTCCCCTTGCCTCGATCCTCGCTCTGAAGCCAAAGCTTCGACGAAGGGGCCCGCACGGAGGTAGAGGTCGCTAGGAGTGCCGTAGAAGACACGCAGGAATGGGATCAAACCCGCAAAAGGCGACTGTCGAAGTCCTTCAAACATTTCCCGCCGATGGAAGGAGTTGAAAGCGTTCGCCACGTCAATTTGAAGCGCGCACCATGACGGGTGAGTAGAGATGGCAGAACGAAAGGCATGTGCGAGGACTTCCACTCCCGACCTGGATCCGACTCCTAGCTGGTTACACGGCGCAAAGTGCGACATCATCTTCGGCCGAAGCACGATGCATAGGGCCCGAGATAGTATGCGGGGGAGCACCTCGCCTATAGCCACCGGGCGAACGTCACCATTCGGCTTCGACAGGCCCACAAGGTTGGACGCAGTGAGCCAGGGTCGCACGCGCTCCGCTACCTCTCCCTTGGTCAACTGGGTGAAGACTCCTAGCAGGTGAGGCAGGTATGCGGGCTCAGAGAGAAAAGTGTCGCGCAGGTGCTCCGTCACCCACCCCGACGGTCCTGGTGCCGACGCCCTAGCCGCAGAGTGGATCGCCTGACCAAGTACCTCCACTGAGAGCTGTGGGATAAGGGAAGGCTCAACTATCTCCTCCTGCAACCACTCCGGAATGGCGGTCTCGCTCGATGGGTGTTTCGCTCGCAGCGCGTCCACCATGTGCTGAGAGGGCTGAGCGATGCTACCGGCAGTAAGACACGCCAAACCCCGACTCCATTCTCCCACTTTGCACCTTGTGCGGCAGCGAGCCAGGCGCACCGCATCAGGATCATGCTCGGGGGGGGTGAAGGACAAAGGACGCGCCGCAGGTTGCATTACCGCCACCGCCAACTCAAACAGCTCCCGCCACTCCCCGACCCAAAACTTCTCCAACCGCTCCCTGATTGCCGCCCTATGCTCCTGGCCTTGCCCAGTTGGCATCCCCAAGATAAGACGAGGGAAGGCCAAAAAGACCAAGGACGCCGCCTCGTCTGCTGCCTTTAACTGTAGCCGCTTCAGGACACAAGACAGTGCATCAAGCACCCCCAATCTAGCGCGCTGTGGGATACGACGCATGATTCTCCCTGGCACCAATTCGATCCCAAAAAACGACTCCCAGTCCCATGTAGGAACTGCGGCCCACACCTCTTCACTGATATCACGTGGTGGCGGGGGTTCGCTGTCCGAGTCATCTGTGACGTCGCGGGTCAACCCAAGCGCCTGAGCACGACGCTGGGCGTCCGCTGCCCTGCAGGCCGACATATGGCGTGTGGCCTTTCCTCTCTCCGTGAACGTGCGATAACAGGTTTCGCACGGAATGCGGGGCGGGGGTGTCAATGTAGGGTCTGGGTGCTCCTCTCCACTCGAACACGCCGGCAAGACCCTCCTGCTAGACTCCGTCTCCATGCCCCCCTCTAACGTTTTGGCCAGATGTCCGTTTTGGAAAAACCTTTCATACAATACAAAACCATTTCGTTCATCATGAACAATTGCATTATTAGATTTGATTATCACTGTAGACGTAACATGGATTTGGGTTGACAACGATCTCCTCTTGAGTGCATTGGCTTGTTCCGCTCTCCGCCACCACGAGTTAAGACTTCGGCAGGACAAATGATCGCAAGATCTGAACATTTCAAGGTTCGTAACATATTACGCCAAGACTAATTTGTCGCGATGCCAGCGTCCATATGTGTTGTTCTCGTCTTATCCCTCCGCCTCCGCTCCTCATCCTCATCCACAAGTTCTCCCCTCCCCACCGTGGTCTGTGTCCTCTCACTGCCCCCTCTCCCACCCTGGCTCCCGCTATCCTCCCACCAACCCTACCCTGTCCGCGTTGACAGGCCCTCCTCCCCCTACACTCTCCCCTCTTCCCCCCCTCCCGTGTTCCCTACTTTCCCCTCACCCCTCCTCCCCTTGGCCGACCTCGCCTCGTCTTGCCTCAACTTGCCTCGCCTCGCCTCCCCTGGCCGCACACATCTCGCCTCTCCGAGTCTCCACCACCGCCACACATTCCCCTTCCCCCGACAAGACATCCCATGGCTGGGAGGGAGTCCCTGTCGTTTCAGCTACACCCTGTTTCTCGCTATTGTGAATTCCGGTATACTGAACCCTCTGGCTCAACGCGCCAAATTACGCGCTATAGTCAACTTTTGCACCAGTTCGGTTTGACGAGGTCAGCTACCTTTGAAGACGGTCAGTTGAACTTTTAATATGGCTCGGTAGGGTACCCAGGTTAACGAAATTTCGGATCACCCGCCTCCTAGAGACGGTTATTGTAAACTTTTCGAATAAGTCCAACGAACAGTTCCACTGTTC